TCACTCACTGCCCTGAGTTCCTGGATGTACCCCCCAGGCGTTTCCATGGAAGCTCCCAGGATATTCTTAGGAAGACTTGGTTCAATTACAGAGGCTTGTAGGAGCTTCCATGTCAGTCTGAGGGAGCGTAATGCATTTTAGGTTTGGACCTGAGTGAAAGGTTTGGACCGGACATCTTTGTCTCATCCACTCCAGAAGTCGTCGTTGCATTCACGTTTGCACTCAGAACACCGCATGGCTTGTCTTTCTAGCACCTGACCAAGGCTTGACATCGTCATGTCAACTTCGGAATCCGGAGTTCTGAGGCTGTCCGGAGAGCCATTTTCCGGGATGGTTTGAAATCCGAAATCATTTGGGTGTGGCTCAGAATTAAACAGGAGGGGTTACGCAGGTTTTAGTCCATGTTTCCACTTGCCAGGGTTCCATTTTGGTACCGGTTTTGTGAGCCACAGCCATGTGGCAGTAAGTTGAGGTGCTCAGAACCACTCTCTTTGCATCTCTCGCACGCCCGCATGCCCGCATGCCGGGAGCGGGATGACCCGGGCTGGAGATTCATTCTGCCTACTTGACGGCAAGCCCAGCAGAGCGTACAAGCTTGCCATCATGCAGGTCCCTTGCTTGGGGGTTCCTTATGTCAGGTTTTGGATCTATTGCGAACATTGTTCAGCATCGTTCCTATTGAATTACTTTACCAGCTTAACCCAAAGAAGTCAGTCCTGCGACCCTCCAAGCACACCGTCCAACCACACATAGCTCATGCTGGTCTACACTCCCTCCCGTTGCCATGGCACCTGACAGAGGGTCCTTTAAAGAGGAAGTTGTTCTTGCAGGTATCCTTCCGCAAATTCCCATCTTGGTGGGAGAAAGGATGAGTGCTGTAATGTTTCCCAATGAGGAGTGCTTTGGGTGGTACCCCACAAGGCTGTGAACCAAAAGCTCTTGCGCCCCTTTGGCGTGTCCGACTCACAGATGGTCGCGGGTCTCGGCCAAAAAAAAGGGTACCCTCAAAGAAAGACACAATACAGTGTGTGACAATGCAACGCAAGTAAATACAAGTTCATTGCATATTCTTTTGCTGAATCCGCAGCCCCCTAACAAAATATGAACAGAACCAAAAAACCAAAAACACCTAACAAGCCCCCCTGCAAAATATGAACAGAACCAAAAAACCAAAAAACACCTAACAAGCCCCCTGCAAAATATGAACAGAACAACAAAACACAAAGAAGAACACCGAACAACTTGCCAAGAACAGTGAAGGTAATCCAGCCGGAGCCATGTGTCAAGACCCCGATCCCGAGTTCACGTTCCCCCCAGCGGCATCGGCAGAGTGAAAATCGGGCCTGGCAAGACAGGCATTCGCATGGCTTCAAGCAAAAATATTCTTTTCCTAGACTCTCCATCACCCTTAAAAAATGGTTGGTCATTGCCCAAGATAATGGGGTCATGACCCCTTTTTCCAGGGGTCATGGAGACTCCAGGTACCTGTATGTGTGAATCTTTTGAATTGACTTTGAATTGTGTCGAAATACCATTGCTGTGTGTTTGACTTTTTTTAAATCACCAGACCAAGATACAGAATCCCTACTTTTCACACGCTGGGTGGCTTCATGATGAATCCGGACGGATTGAGTGCTCTTTTTCTTCAGAAGTGCGAAGTGCTCATGCTTGTGGTTGTAAACGGACTTACTTTTCTCCGGTTCTGCTTCGTGGAATCCGAGCATCCGCGTGATGCAACCTGTCGGCCAGGCAAAAAGCCGTTTGAGCCGTTGCCCCGCGCGCCCGCGCGAATGCCTCGTGGCGAATGCCAGGTGGAGTGTTAGTGAGACCCGTGAAGAGCCGCGACCTGGATGCTGGATGATGCTGGCGGCCAGAAAGGGGCTTCACCACTGCAATAGCCAGGGTACGTGGGCCGGTCCGGGCTGGTGAGCATATTTGCTAGAACCTTTTTTTTGAGCACCTTGGACACCCGAGTATTTTGGGTTTGCAAAATATGGAGACCTAAGCTGTGGGGTGGGGACCTCAAGGTTCCTTTCGTTTTTTTTTTTTTCCCCCGCAGAAGATTGCCTCGATGACGGAGACATAGGCAATCGGCAATCGGTCAATTCGCCTCAGAACGTGCGTAAATCGCTCAAGCATCCGGGGGTGGCGAGCATCTCATCCCACAGAGGCACTTTGGACTTGCCCTGTGATAAGCCAGTTTGGCAATGCATGTCTGTGTGTGTGTGTCTGTTCGTGTGTGTGTGTGTGTGTCTGTTTGTGTCTGTTTGTGTCTGTTTGTGTTTGGGGGCTTCATTGCCACCATCGTGCCTGGCTCGGGTCATTTTTTACCCCTTTGACTTTGGATCATGAATTTTGGTCAAGCACGAGCCTCGAGCAGTAATAATCCTTCAGGTTTTCAGGGTGCCTGGGGAGCTGTCGCAGGCACTTTGAAGGGACACCTGCCGATGTCGCAAGTGGCTGATCCTTTCGGAAGGATTGCGTGAGGTTTCGGGGTGATATATATATATACACATATAGCTATATATATATATATAGCACGTATATGTATACTTGTTCATGTGTTGAGGGTACCCTTTTGGGGATGGTTTAAAAGGGAAACCAAAAGGAGGCCACCTATTGTTGAGGCCCCCCTATTTTGATGCATACCCATGTGCTTTTTTGTAGAAGCTTATATCCAAGCTTGGCAAAAGGCGGGGGCTTCAGCGTGGACCCCTTGTCAAAAGGCCCTAGGTTACAAGACCCGCAGGCAGCAATTTGTCTGAAGGGACTACCGTTTGCCCCGCCTTGACGCAAAACACAGCGCGTTGCAAAACCCACGCACTCGACTTAGTATTCTGAAATTCCAGGCGAACATGACATGAGCTTCCCACTGTGTGCGCGGAAGAGACGCAGGAGGGCAGCAAACGAAGATGCGTCTCCCTCTCACTCACTCACTCACTCACTCACTCACTCACTCACTCAGTCACTCACTCACTCACTCACTCACTCAGTCACTCAGTCAGTCACTCAGTCACTCAGTCACTCAGTCACTCAGTCACTCACTCACTCACTCACTCAGTCACTCACTCAGTCACTGAGTCAGTCACTGAGTCAGTCACTGAGTCAGTCACTGAGTCAGTCACTCAGTCACTCAGTCACTCAGTCACTCAGTCACTCAGTCACTCAGTCACTCAGTCACTCACTCACTCACTCACTCACTCAGTCACTCAGTCACTCAGTCACTCACTCACTCACTCACTCAGTCACTCACTCAGTCACTGAGTCAGTCACTCAGTCACTCAGTCACTCAGTCACTCAGTCACTCAGTCACTCAGTCACTCACTCACTCACTCACTCACTCACTCACTCACTCACTCACTCACTCACTCACTCACTCACTCACTCACTCACTCACTCACTCACTCACTCACTCACTCACTCTCTCTCTCTCTCTCTGCCTCCTAAAACAGGGCCCAGAGCCAACACACAAAAAGTACGGAAACGCCGGAGGAACGGCGCGGAAGCTGCCTGGAAACAACGCGAAAGGCTTCCGGAGTCCGCGTGGAAGAGAAGTTTGTCTGTACAACCGCCTTCTCCTTCAAGCCTTCCACTCAGAACGTCTGGAGAACTGCCTGAACGGCTAGCCAGCTGTACCTGGAAGGCTCCTGACCCCCAAGGTGTCAAGAGCAACCGCAAGCCATGGACGAAAACCGGCAACCACTTGTGCTTAAGCTCTTGCATGCTCTTGCAATGGGCGTGGAAGAGCGTGGAAGGACAGTTTTCAGAAGTAGTTTGCAGAGCCCCAGATGTTCCTCTCCTCTCCTCTCCTCAGATTTTGTTGGCAGATGTTATCGGGCCCGAGAGTGCGCACTTTGATCAGGAACCTGGCCCGACCGCAGCTGTAGCCGCGGCCACAACCGCAACAAGGAAACAAGGATGCAACTCCACGGCGCAATCGGGCTGAGTGGCAAGTTTCGTGCGAAGCGAGTCGCTTGCAGCAAGCACTCAACAAACTTTTGAGCCACAAGACCAAGACTCAAGACTCTTCAAGCAACAAAAGGAAAAACAAAGGAGCAGAAGCAACATTCTAACAACCAAACCCTGACGTCGAGAAACCTCCAACCCAAGCAGAGGGTGCTGCTGTTTCCCTGGTCATGGTGCTGCTGCGCTTGGAAGTCTCCAGCGCCTCTAGGGCAGCGAAGGCGGGCGCCTGGGGGGGACGCGCAATTCGCACAGGTTTGGGCTTCGGCGGGGAGCGGAGTCAATGGGCTCGGCTTTTTGAGGGGATCCCCCGAAAAGGACCTCTTTTTTTGGTTTTGGTTTTTGAGGGTCCCCCAAATCATCAAATGGGTGGCTCGTCGGGTAGTGTTTTGATTAGTGGTTTCCCTTTTTATTCCACCAAACAAGAAGGACCCTCCACAAACCAGATGTGAGTGGGCGTCAAAAGTGGACATCAGAGTTCGTTGGGGGATGTGCGTGTCCACGAATCACTCTTCAGGGGGTCCACGAATCAAAGTTCATAGGCCAAATAACCAAGCATGCACGGGAGGTGGGTTTCTTTTGGGCCTGTGAGTTTTCAGTATGCCAGGTCCTTGGACGAAACGAAGCTTCCAGATTCTGCGGCCCGAACCGATTCACGAAGCTTGATTCCTAAGAGTTGATGCAACGCTATGTTGGGGATCCGGATCATTTTTTGGATTGGAGCCTGCTGGTTCCGTCGGCTTCTGAAATCTGTGGTCAACGTTCATCTATGGGAAGGTGTCAAACGGGTAGGTCCGAAATTTGAGGGACCCCTTTTTGAAGTGTTTAAAGGGACACCCAAGGGGAAACCACTGGTTTCCGGTCCTAGAGACACACTCAGGTCAAAGGTCCGATGAACATGGGATGACCATTACGGAACCCACCAAAATGGATGTGACTTTTGGGGGGAAACCCCGCATGAGCCACAATCAAAACCCGGGTAGATGAAGGTTGGTAAGGGACCATCCCAGCCAGAAATAGTTGCGGCCACCTTACTTCTGTACATGGTTCTGGGTAGACTATTTTAATACCGGGTTTTGATTGTGACTCACATGCTATCCAAAGCTTGCGCGGAGGCCGGCCAGACACCGGGCGCAGCCTGCTGCACCTCGCCGGCAGCTTTTGGTTCATTTGGTCAGATCCAGTTCACCCGAACCTCCCGTGGTGCGCGTCATTGTCTTTTGCCTTTTTAAAGCCAACGACCAAAGGAAAGGAGTGCCCTATCTATTTCTCACGGAAATCCACTGGTCCTGGTTCAGGTGAACTCTGTTGCGCCAATCCGCTCAGGACCGATTCCTACTGCGGATGGGCGAACACCTGCACCACTTTGAAATCATGGGAAGCTATGGTTTGTTTGGTATTTACGGGGGAGTCGAATCAGAATCCGCGGTTTCTGAACGGTGGTGTGAAACGGATTTCACAACCATCCACAGTATGACCCATCACGAGTTTCATAGGATCCAACCCCACTCATGTCTTGTTGCCCCAAAACAAGACCCCAATCTTCCATTTGTTTTTTTTTTTACCTGTTGGTTTTAAAGGAACCTATCACTACGTGAAATATTTTGTCATTTTTTCCAGGGGTCGGAAACACCAAATGGAAGTAATATAGCGCCTTCGCCGCTTTGGACGTAGGCGTGGTGGGTGCCGCCGGAAATCTGGGCGGATGGGACCCCAAGTGCGCGCCAGAGCTCGCCCCGCCACTCGCCACGAGCGTTTCGCGAGGAGGACTTGGGGCAAATGTGTCGGCAGGACTTGGGAATGTTCACTTGAAGGTATTCTGAGGGCACCCGCACGATGGATTTCCTCAAGGGGACCCTCTGTCAGGTCCCATGTCAGGAGGGAGGGTGTCTTGTGTCGGTTTCACCATCTTCCGCCTCCGTCCGGCTCGACTGCACAACAAGACACCCAGGAGCGGGCCGCTGTGCTGGCAGGGCGACGTGGACGCTGCCGGGGAGGAGTTCAAGATCTGCCGAGACCTCGGCGACAGGGATTCCGTCTGGGTCGAGCAAGATTTGGGGGTGTCTCTTTGTGAGGATACCCAATTTAGGCTGCATAGTAATAGGACACCACAAGGAAGCCAACCCTTTTTTTCGCGGTTGGGGGGGCCGCGGGCCCTTATTTTTTGAGACACGGCCATTTGGTTTTAACCAGCCCTGCTCGCTGGTAGGGGAACCCCCTCTACATTTCGCCTTCAACTTTCACACGACCCAACCAAACGGTAACTCGTCAAAGTTTGTGACCAAAAGGTGATGTTTGCAAATCTTCTTGGGTCAACTTGGATCGTTTCCAAGTTGAGTAGCCATTTGGGGGAGACAACCCGCTGGGGTTAGCTCTACACAGGCTTAAAAGTGGGTAGCTGAAGTTGCCAGCCACTTACTTGGCCGAACAGCAGGTGAATCGTACAGTGGCTGCATTTTGAGGTCCCCTTGAATATACTTTTGGGATTTGGGGCGGTTTCCCTGCAAACCGCCATCTAGAGGAGCATTCTCAGCTTGTCCCTTGGATGGACAAAGTCACGGAGTCCTTTTTGGGTCAGTCGTCGCAGATGGTTAGAAGGATATCCAGCCGCAGCGGAAGAAGGTGCGGGCAGTGGCGGACAATGCTTCATTCAATTTTCCCGGCCTTGTCTATGGATGCAGCTTCAAGCATTCGGAGGTCGACTTCCAGGGGGTCTAAACATCGCGGCCGGCAGCCACGATCGTATTCTATTGTGCAAAGAATTAACGCGCTTGCCTGGGGGAAATAATTAGCTGACCCATGATGAAGGTCCTTTACTCGAGGATTCCTCGTTTCAGGTGTGCGAGCTATTGATATTTGCCCACAATGCGATGCCCCAAAATGCACGTGGGTGCGTTTGTTTTGAGGTGAACCCCCAAAGTGGGTGGTGTTCCTTATAGTGTCCGTTTAAAACCTACCACAAAAGTGGTACCCTCAAAAGGGACAAACCCAAATGGCCCCTCAAGGCCTGGTCCGTTGGCTTGACAAGACTTGGCAGAGAGGTTCCCGAGGAAGCTGTTTGTAAGAGTCCTTCACACCCAACGCACTGTGGCGAACAGGTGGATTTGTTTGCTTTGCTTCAGGCTTTTCATCACGGATCCCCGGGTTTGGTGGTATGTATATATATATATATATATACAGGGTTCCACTTTTTGGCTACCCCAAGATAGACTTAAACCCAGGGGTTTTTGTTTTGGGGGGAATTAACCACCCTGGGTTTAAGTCTACCCTGGGGTAGTCAAAAAGTAGAACCCTGGATATATATATATATATATATACGTATATATTTGCTAGCTGGCCACCTTTCGTGAGTCCAGGAAAGACTGGCAAACAAGATGACATGCCTTTGGGAGCTTCGGGGGTTGCGCTTGCCAAATCAGCTGGACGCGGATAGTCTTGCATCTGTTTACGGATGTTTTCTTTTGGTGGGCTTGGGAACCGGGGAATTCTCCCCTGGTTGACCAATAGAAGATGGTCCCGTTTAAGGGAGGTTATACGTTCAGGCTATGCCGACATGAGAGGGCTCTTTCTTCGTGACAAGTTTCTTCAGCTTCCCACATTTTGCAAGCATTCTGTTCGTCTTCGCCACGCAACAGGCCCATTGATCAGCTTGCTCTCAAGTGGTATTGCCGTTTGGGCTTGCGACGCGGATGATGCTACGAGAAGTGCCGGTGGTTGAATGCCTACTGGATAATTCTCCTCTTTGATGTGCATCCTTTCTCCAGACATCTTACTTGCCGTTATTTGCGAGATTCGCCAAACTGCAAAAGCCCAGGCGTCGTTCGACCTCGAATTCGCGGAAGATCCTGAGGCATCTACAACTCTTCGACCCATGACTACACCTGGGAGGAGCAGGGACCCCTCCATCGGCTTCCCATGTCTGGAAGCAGCTTGACTCATCCCGAAAATGGCTGAAAGTTGGCTGAAAGCTGGGCCAATATGGTGGGTTCAACCACCCATTTTTCCCGTTTGTTTGACCTGAGCACTTTCTACGGGGTTCAGCCACCGCTATTCCCCCTTTTGGTTGTTTGAACCGTGACGTTTTTGGTCGGGCGATGTGTAAATGTGAAGGGGATCCCCGTGTACAACGAGGTGGGCATGGGGATGACCTATATTGGTATTGCAGAAAGGGTTACTTGCCCCTCAACAACTTTCTTTTTTTTTTTTCACAATCCCCTGTTGGTTTTTAAGGGAATCTATCACTACTGGAAGTATTTTCTCATTTTCTTCAGGGGTCCTAACCAAATGGAAGACAAACACCAGGCTGAAGCGCGAAAACGAGAGTTCCTTCTTCTTTGCACTGCCATAGCGAGACTCAGATTGGACGTTGATTCTTGGGGAGGACATGGGGGCTCAACGAAGTTCCCGAGAAGCAAGGAGCGAATCACCCAATCTTCCCACAGGGCTCCTTAAAAGATACAAATTTTGCCCATTTGAAACATGTTGCTTTTTCAACACCGAAATAAAGGGAAACCACCATTTGCAAGGCAATGTTCAGGTGTATAATGTAAGGATCTCTGTTCCCATCTCGTGGGAAAGGTGTACCTTCCTCTCAGAACAGGGCTTTGTACGGGCCACGGCCCTAGGGATGCCTTCGGGAAACATTAAGGACAAGGAAACAACACCTAGAACAACCAACAAGGGGAACCCTCAAACAAAGACGAAGCTCTGGAACCCTAAACCAACAAGGGGACCTTTTCCATCGCCTAGGCTTGCGCGCCACCTTCGAGGACGCCGGTTCCGACGTGGCCGACGCGGCGAAGCCGGCGGCAGCGGCGAAGCCGGAAGCGGCGCGGTCCTGGCGAGTGGTGGGCGGCGGAGACAAGGCGGGCCCATGGGCACCGGGGTCTCCTGAAAACAACATATGGTTCAAGGCAGCACCCTCCAGGGATGGTCCATGTGTATCTGAAGTGCCCTTGTGTGAGACATTTTGGGTACTAATTGACAACACTTGGAGGGTGCTGGAGGCTGCCAGAGTAGTGCACAGACTCTGAAGAGATCATCTTTGATGTAGTTTCTACGCGGTTTGGGCCAAGGATGCCTTGAACAGTTGCCCATGCCGCATGCAAGCTACGCCATCCGGCACTGCATTAAGCAAACAAGGAACATCGCACGAAGCTGGGGGTGTTCTGCGCAGAAAGAAGTTGGAGACGGAACTGGCCGGGAGGGGAGGGGAGGGGAGGGGAGGGGAGGGTCATCATAAGAAATCTAGGAACCCCGGAATATCTATCTATCTATCTAATCTAATCTAATCTAATCTAATCTAATCTAATCTAATCTAATCTATCTATCTCTATGTATATATATATATATGCAGAGTCACCCCCCCCCCCAGCGCCTACCTTTCACTATTCTAGTTGGACAGTATCATATACAACACATATATATATATATATATGTATATATATATACTGTGTATGGTCACGTATACAACTTCTGTGGTGGCTCAACTCCCCCCCCTCGGTGGCTCCATGCTTCGCCCGCTTCGACCGCCGACGCGCGGATCCGAGGGCGGCATCGTGGTGCGCTCGGGCGTGGGGCTGAGCTCCCCGGAGGCCGCGGAGCGCTTGGCCACCGGCGCCGTGCTCCAGGCGCCGGCGGCCGGTGTCGCCGGCGTCGCCGGTTTCGGCGGCGGGGCAGGTGGGTGAAACGGCCGGCCGTTTTGGCCGAAAAGGCCGCCAGGGGGGGGGGGGGTTGGGGGGCTTAGGGAGGTTGGGGGGGTTGGGGGCTTGGGGTGGTTGGGGGGGGCTTGGGGGTGGGTGGTTTAACTGAATTGCTTTGATCTGAAATATAAGTTTTTCTTTGGGGTGGGGGCTGGTTGTTCAATTTCGGCGTTGCCCTTGTTCACTGCCATGGTAAAGCGGGTTTTCTTGGGGTAAGTGGCCGTACAACCAATTCCGTAGTTTCCTTTCCTTTTCAGTTTCAGGGCCTCCATGTCTGCTTGCTCGGTTGGGTCTAATTGTTTGGACATGCTGGCAACGGGGTTAGGGGACCCCCCCCCCCAAACAAAAAGAAGAAGCAAGCACAGAACCTGTGATTTGCCTCCTAGTTTCCAGTCCAACCAAGGTGTAAGCGGAGCCTCCCCAAGATGTTGCTTGTGTCCAGAAAAGGGCCCAACAAGTTGTGGTACCCTCAGGCTAACCTGGAAGCTCCCAGGACCTTTGGAAGACTTGGTTCCATTGACAGGATCGGCCTTTTGGCTTCCCTTCTTCCATGGCCTGAGGCCTGAGGGTCTGGGGAAGCTCCAGGTTAGCCTGGAGTGTTCGTGCCTTTTCCATAGAAAAGAAGGGGTACAGGTTAGCCTGGAGTGTTTGGGGGTACGGGTTAGCCCGGAGTGTTCGTGTCTTTTTTTTTTTGGAAAGGGAACGGGAAGCCCCCGCGGAAGTTTCCGCAGAGGTCTCCGGGTGTCGCGGGTTCCGTCGATTCGGTTTCGGCCGGGTGGGTCCCGCCGGGTTGCGCGAGGAGCTGCAGCGGGTGGAGGAGCGGCTCCAGTTCCGCAAGGTCTCGGGCGAGGGGCCCGAGGAGGGCTGGGTCTCCCTGCGGCTCAAGGCGCGAAAGGGCGGGGGAGGGGGTGGGGGGAGGGTGGGGAGAGGGTGGGGAGAGGGTGGGGAGAGGGTGGGGAACGATGGATGATACTGAGGAGGATGAGGAGGATGATCATCATTATCCAATATCAACAATGATGATGATGATGATGATGATGATGATGATGATGATGATGATGATGATGATGATGATGATGATGATGATGATGATGATGATGATGATGATGATGATGATGATGATGACGATGATGATGCTGATGATGTTGATGATGATGATCATGATGGATGATAATGAGGATGACGATGAGCATGATGTTGCCCCAAGTCTAGTGATGATTCATCATCATCGTCAGGGTCGTCGTCGTCCTTGCGTCCCGTTAGACCCTGAGATGGAGGGCGGTCATCATCCTCACTGTGCATCCCCAGTGTTACCAGCAGTTCTGAGGATAATCATGACTACGCAGCCCCAGCAAAGCTACGGGCAGGACCAACCTAGTTAGATGATCACTGTGATGATGATGATGATGATGATGATGATGATGATGATGATGATGATGATCAAGACGATGATGATGATGATAATAGTAATAACAATTAATAATTATTAATAATAATAGTAATAATTTTGGCGTTTTCAAAGCCAGTGTAGTGCCCCACACAAAAACTGGCAACAAACAACTTTGGGAAAGCAACCATGTTCTTTTGAAGCAAACAACATCTTTCGAAACATTCTTTTATGGGTTGGCAACCACTTAAAGAACTTTATGAACCTTACTTTCTATAAATAGCAACATCTTTAACTTGTTTAAGGTTTTTCTAGCAACTTTCAAACACAATCTTTCATATTTCTCAGACATTCAAACATCTTTGCGAAATAGCCAAGAATAGTTTAAGCGCATTTATGTCAATAAACTCACAGTGGCGAGTCCTAATCTATATCCTTTGGCAAACAAGCTGGTGCTCCATTGCGATGCCCAATGAAAGCCGACATGCGAGTATGATTGTGGCTGTGGTGTGGTTAATGGCAAGAATACAACGCTAGGTTTTGCTGTCTATTAGCGCTTCGCAGCTGCTCCATTCGCTCAAATTGGGGCCGCCCATCATGGCAGCTTTGGGGCTAGAACAAGTTGTAAATTTGGCGCAGCAGTATGCCGAGATGGAGCCATGCCAGCGCGGCCAAGAGCAGGAACTGGAAATTGCGCCTGCAGCTGCCAGGCGGATCGGCCGCAGGCCTTTGGGTAAGAGGCTTGAGGCAACGCAACCAAGCCCGGAACGCCCAAGTCAGACAAAGAGATGCCAGCTGGGCCAGCAGAAAGCGGCAGTTAGTTCTTCAGAGCAAAGCTTTCAACAAGACGGGCCAAGCGCGCACTGCTGATTACCGGCTGCCAAACGAAGATTTGACCAGGCAGAAATCAGCCGGCAAAGGCAATGGACGACCTGGACTCCAGAGGCCGTGCTTCGAGCAGGCTTTGGGAGTGAATCCGAGATGGAGGGCGCTTCAGGGTGCCAGGCGCGGGCTGCCAGGTTTGCTTGCGCCGCTGCCACGCGCAGATCTCAGGCAGAATCTTGCCAGAAGGTTGCGGAGGAGTCGGCCATCAGCCCTTGAGGTTTTTCATCCGAAACTTGATGTTTGATGAGTCAACTTTCAAGTTGAAAGTTGGGAAAGATGCTGCCAATAGTTGCTGTGTTCTGTGCTCCCATGCTCAGTGGACGATGGGATGCGAGCCAGAAGTTGGAGCTTGTGAGGGACGAGCACGTTGTGCGGGCTCCGCGGGTTCTAGCGCCCATGAACTCTGCGACTATGTGGCAGGCGCTGTCAAATCACCCTGGTGGCCTCGGGCCCTGTGGCCGCTGACCACGTGTGCACCCTCACAACATGTGACTCACATGCAGCCAACCTCAAGCTGCTGAAGCATTTGGATTCAGCGCTTCCGCTGGATCATTGTTTTTGCCGACTCTTGGCACTCAGCATCGCAATGGAAATGTGGTGGAGCAGTTGACGAATTTGCTAGGCAACCTGGGAGGTTGCTTTTGCGTGTCCAGAGTGTTAAACTCGAGGCACGCAGTGCAAGCGCTCCGCAAAAAAACGGGCGCTGCCCTGGACCGAGATTTTGTGTTTCTGGCTAGTGAGCCAGCAGGCGTTCAGGACGAATGGAAGCAGGCGCGGTCGCTGACCAAGGGCTTTTTGAAGCTAGCGACCATGTTCGAAGCCAGCTCCAAGGACGCAAGGACTCGGATGAAGCCGGCGCAGCTGCTCCTGATGAGCTATCTGCTGGGTATGCTCGCTTGCTGAAGTTCTTCAACGGGCCATGGACAGGACTGGGTTGGGAGAGCTGTCTTTTTATATTTGCGGCTTTTGTGAAGTTACATGCGATGTTGATGTTGCGTCTGTTGTTCACATGGTGGTGGCTGTGGTGATGGCTTTTTGCCGCTGTCGTTCCTTTTGGCTTAGCTAGTGGGCTAGTAGGAGCTTTGTGCATGGGCGTGTGTGTGTGTGTGCGCGTGCGTATGACGCGTGATGCACGTGTAGTTGTTTTTTTGTGTGTGTGAATGTGTTTGCGTTCGTGCTTGAATATGTTTGCAGGGCTTGACTGCGAAGAAAAAGGGAAAGGCCCGTGCCCAGCAGAAGCCCCAAAGCAAAAGGAAGCGGTCGCAGACCTTGGCCCCAGACATCTCAGACGCAGAGCGGGAGTCTCAGTCGCAGGCTTCTGCTGCAGACGCTTAGGGTGATGGCGACAGCGAGCCTTCTTCGTCTTCTGTGGCCGCTGGCCCTGCTCCGAGCATTGCGATCGGGGAAACAGCTTGTCCTGCAAAAAGGCTGTGAGCCGAAATATGTCATTCGCCTGAAAAGATGGGCGCTTTGCACCAGGGCTGGCCTGTGCATCGGCAGCGCCCCACCATGTGGAGCTGGGTGGCAAGGGGCTACAAGGGCGGCGCGCCAAAGATGCGGTTTGCTTGCTGAGGAAATCACTTTGGCCCATGGCTCAAAGGCTCCCTGCGCCTCATGAACAGGCCATTGGTTTAGCCTCGACATGTTTGAAGATTTAGTTGGGTGCAATGTGTGTATTGATGAAAACACGGGAGACACATTGAGCATTCTGTATGACTATTCTTTTCTCTTGAGCCGCGTGGCAAGTTGTAATCCCAAGAAGTTCCAAGTTGACACCATACGGTTCAACCGGTGCAAGCATCGCCTTGTGTCCTGTGCACACAAGCGAGAATCAAAATCTAGGCAGGTTCGGGACGGTCCTTTTCGGGGTGTCCGCCCTGGCCATGAGTCCATGAGCTCGCTGAGGCACTTGGCCAAGAAGTCTCAGCCGGTCATTTGCTTGCGTCGGAATGTTTGAAGCAGACATGGACGCCTTGGTCCGGGCTTAGGCTGTCTGCAGTCCTTTGCTCTGCCTACTTGGCCGCTATAGAAAAGTGCGGCGCCCTGAGTCAGAGCAAAATGTCAAGGTTCCCGAGGGCGATTTGTTTCAGCACCTTCCGCGCTCTTGGCTTGGGCTACAAATATGGTAGCTACGGCGCCTATTACAAAGATATCAGGGGCAGCGCAGAGAAGCGTGGCAAGTTTCTCCAAGCCATGAAGGAATGGATTAGTCAGAGAAATGAGATCCCAGGCGTCCGCGTGGACAAGGATGCAGTGAAGAAAGCATCGACCACGCTTCACTGTGAAACCAAGACTGGCGTCAAGCTGAAGGGGCCCAAGAAGGAGTTCGTAATCCTAGACCGCTGGGATCCCAAGCTTGACGGCGAGCTGGGCGAGACCAAGGCGGTGGAAGAGGCGCAAGGCCGAGTTGGTGTTTTGCAAGCACAGGAGTACGAAGACAAAAACATCTCGGAGAAAACTGAGGAGCACCGTTCGCTGAACAAGCTCTAGCCACCAAGAAAGAGGTCATGGAGCACCTGCGGAAGCTTGTCCCTGGCTTGGCGCAGACCCCAGGAGAGGACACGCCAAGAGGCGGGCGACGAAGAGCACAGTGAGGCAGAGGAAGAAGAGGAAGAAGTGTGCCCTGCTGCACGCTTCGCTGCGAGCGTTGGCGGACCCAAAGTGGCCAAGGCAAAGCCAGCTGTGAAGGCTGTGAAGGCCACCGCCGCCAAAACAGCGCCAAAGCAAGCAGCGCACAGATTTCCATCTGCGCGCGAGGGCCGCGGGCCGTGTGAGTCCCAGCCAAAGCAGGCTGCCAAGCCGAAATCGCAGCGTGCGCCAGTTGAGACTTTGCAGTTGGACGGGCGGGGGCAAGCGGCTGAAGGAAAATTTGGCAGAGACTTACCAGAAGCTGGCGGACGCAGTGGAAGCAAACCACCTGGAGGTCAACTTCAGCCTCCAGCAAGAGGATGCTAGGGTTGCTTATTCAAAAAAGAATAAGGCTCTGTGTTCCTTGCTGAACTCCACATCCAAGCAGATCAAGGCACAAGGCAATGGCCGCCGGCCATGCGTCATCCAGGTCGCCGACCAGCCGGCGACGAAGAGCGGCCCCAAAAAGCAGAAAGGCGCTGGCAACGAGAAGGCGCCGCCTGAGTGAAATGGTGGCCGACAGAGGCTTTGATGCAAGACTGGCCGGGAATGCGATGTCTTTGCCGGTGGTTCTGACTATGCTGCAGTGCGTTTTTGCTTCTGTCACCTGGCGGTCGAAGAAGTCCAACTGCAGCCGCGGTCCCTGTCTCGACCCAGGAGGAGTGTAATTGTGCTCTTAAATCACCTTTGGCAGGGAGCTTTTTTGGTTGACCGCGCGTTTGTAGTGGCGCTAAAGCGGTCTGGTTTTTTGAGTTGCTATGTCCAGTTTTGACGTTAAAAACGCACTGGGCGCACTTGTGCTTTGTGTGGGGCAGCAGCTCTGACGCAAGGAGGTCGCCCAAGCCCTGGCCGCCATCCATGCCGTCCAGGGCGATGCGGAGCGGAAGTCGCAGCAATTGGCGCCAGAGTGAAAAAGATGCTGCCAGCGTTACTCAGGGTCGGGGCTGGATAGCTAGGCGGCAGTCAAGAATGACCATCAAATCGTTAGGCTTGATGTCCTGACGTGTGAATGTCAGCTCTGGCTCTGGCTTAAATATGTATTGTCGGAGGTTGCTTCGCGCGCCCTGTTCCTGGACTGTGCCCACCAAAATAAATCAGATAACGCTATCATAAACCATCGCTTAGTGGTGTCCTTGGAATGCCCACGCGCATGTGATAGCCGCAGTTGCAAATGGAGACAAAACAAAACTTTCAGTAATTTTCTCTATTTCTACATATTTTTAAAAAGAAAAAGAAGTTTTAAAAACATCTTTCGAAACATTCTTTGTAGAAAAACAACTTTTTAAACATAAATATATATATATATATAAAGAACTTTTAATTCTGAAAAGAAGTTGAAATTTCAAAACAAGTTGCCACAAGAACTTGTTTGTTTCACTGCTGGTGACACCTGGATTTAAGGCTCCCACCCACAGGCTTTCTGAAAACACCCAAGTAATAATAATAAATAATTAAATAAATATCGCAATAGTAAATAATAATAACAATAATAATAACAATAATAACAATTAATGATGATGAAGGTGAATGATGAGGATGATGACGATGATGATGATGATGATTAATAATAATTAATGATGATGAAAACCCTTCCCGTGCGCCTCCCCTCTTTGGCGAGGGGTCGGCGGATCTTTGAATTCGGGGTGGGGGGCGACCACTGCAACTCCACTTGTTGCCTCCCTGGAATCATCTTGAACCTGTTGAACATGTATCTCTTTTCCCGCAACAAGTGAACCTTATCCAACTAGGTGTTGTTCTTTTGGGGGTGCCACTATAAGAACTCCACCCACGTTTTTTTTTTAAAAGAAAGGCACGGATCTGCAAAGCCGTCGCACGTCGACGTCGACGTCCCAGGGGAAGGACTTGGTGGTGCCCGCTGACGCGGCCTCCGCCTCCGCTGCCACCGAGTCTCCGACGGGCTGCGCGCCGCGGCGCGAAGCGCGGAGTGTGGCGGAGGTCGCTGGAGTTTGGTTCTGAGGTTCCACTACCCCAAAACATTTTTCCGGGTGGAAAGCTCGAGTCAGGTTTTTTTTTTGGTTTTAGTTGGTAGCCCTACTCTGCAGAACATGTGCCTACTTAGCGAGCGGTTCCACCGATTCGGGGGTAGAAGGAGCGAAAGCCATGATAAAGAGTTGAATTCAGCCTTTGGAATTAGACTGACACAACCACGTGTAGAGGAATCTCCTCTGTGGGGGGAGTGTTTCACGTGTGGAGGTGGCTAATTTTAAGGGCCAGAGTCAACATGATCAGGAATCGATGATCTATGTTTTTAACTAGCAAGCCGGAGGTTCCATGCGCCAGCCATTTCAGGTTCCCAAAGCACATGGACCAGAGTTGAACAAGATTAGTTTTGGCGGGAGGAGGGGAGTTGAGGTAGTTCCTCTGCAGATAGATTGACATGGAGCCCCTAAATCGTTCCATGGTAAACGCAAGGTCCGTTTGCGGCAACTTTTTGGCGACAGCTTCCTTGAGTCAATTTGCATTTGGAAACCATTGGATGGTCTAAGGGGCACAGATTAGATTGGCTGGCTTTCGGGATCAAGATTGGATCTAAAGCGCCCAAAGATCTAATTTTGGGGCGAAACACAAAAAGAAGCCTGCAATGAACATGAGTGCATTTGGCTTAATCATAGTCGAATCATACCCCCGCAACTCCGTTCCAATCATTAAAAGGGCCCTTTGAGTTTGGAATGGACCATTTTTAGCTCAAACAAAACATGGTGCATGTTTGTTGGATGTGCATTTGTTCAACAAACAGGAACACTTTTTGGATGTCTGTTTTTTTGGATGTTTGTTGGATGTTTGTTTTTTTGCTGAACTTTCCTATTTTTCTCCTCCAGGCGAGGGACATGGATCGATCCGATCCGGCCCAGGTGCTGCGGGTGCGCGTGCCGCAGAGCTCCGCGCGCGCGGCGGAGGTGGGGCGCAAGGAGGGGGCGGTGTGCACGCTGGTGGGCGAAGGCGGGGTTGGGTGTGGCCTGAAGGTGTGGGCGAGGGGAGATGTGGCCTGAAGCAGAACGAGATTTGGGGGGGGGTATTGAACCAAGTTGCGTGAGATCATGGGGGGGGTTCTTCCGTGCTACCCTGGGACCCGTCCCTCCACTTACGGTTCCCGCAAAAGCCAGGGGACGAATCGAGTTGTCGAGAAGCGTTTGTAAAATTTGCACGCGATCTGTAGTCGCTTTGAAGGATGGCAGGATTCCGCACATTGTGATTTGTGTGATGAACATCTGATTTTTCATCTGGCAAGTCCAGGTTATTGTTGGCTAGCTGTTAGAACCCATTCAGGTGACAAATGCCCTTTTGGTGAGATCGCCATAGGTTGCCAGGAGTTGGTCGCCTTCCTTGTCGCTCTCCTCCGGTAGCCTTGGACAGAGCCACGTTCAAATGATGCCAGCCGTAATGCCGCAGTGCCGTGCGAAATCGTTGGGTGACCTGTTGAACGTTCCTTTCTTGGGCGAATTGGCTGGTGAATGATTGGCATTCACCCGTTGTCATGTTTGCCAGACATGTGTTTCTCAACGGAAGGAAAAGGACACCAGCCAATATTGCAATATGAAAGCAGCACCCCTTGGCATGGTTGGATATCAACAACCACACGGCCTTTCGCATGTTTCAAACAAGAGGACGCGGCAAACACATCCGCGAAGGGTGGCGTGACTAGGGCCGTAAACCTCCCATGCCGCTTTGAAGGTGTCCAATTGGGTTTGCCCTTTGACAAAACAGGTCGGGTAGCCTGGGAAACAACAACCAATTACAGTATCTGTATATATATATATTTATATACATATATATATATATATATACATATATATATATATGATATACTATTTTTGGAACGCCTCAAAAAGAAAAAACGACCCTTCTGGGTTTCGCTTGTACAAACCGGAGAGAAAAAAAGGAAAAAAACAAGAGCAAAAAAAACGCAGCAGCTCGCGCCTTAGGCCCGGCGCTGGGCGGCTGGGACCCCAAGCGCGCCCCGAAGCTGCGGCGCCGCAGCGAGGAGGAAGGCGTTCCGGCGACGCGATCGCTCGACGCGATCGACGTCGACGCGATGGACGGGGATGGGTGGTGCCAAAAGGAAGGCCAAAGGGAAGCCCCAAAAGGAAAGAGGAAACAGGGAACCACAAGGAAAACCACAAAGAGGAAAAAGGAAAACACACGAGGACCACGGATTTTTCGAGGTTGAAAGGGAAACAAGGAACACAAGTCGTTGAAGGGGTTTTTGAGCTGCAGGCAGCCGCAGTCAGCTGCTCTTGTTTGGCGCGAAGCCGCGCCGCTCGTCGCGCGATTCCCTGAGGCGCCACCATTTGGGAGGGCTCCCTGGACGGCCTCGAGGCGTCTCGGGTCTCGGGCGGCTCGGGATTTCGCGAAGTTAGTGGCCGGATGGATTTTCAAGGCTTACTGCGGGGTGGTATCGGGCATCACTGACCACTAGGCTAACTTCCGGACCATGATCCAAGTACAATCATGTTGGCCCCATATTAATCAACGCCAGTTTACTGGAAGGGGGGGGTTGGGGTTTAGCGAGGAATCATACCACTTTTGGTCGGACCCCCACCTCCATATCCATAGACTGGGGTTGATTAATTGTATGGGGTCAACATTAAGCTGATCGTTAACAACTAGTTTCAGGTGGTGCTACTCCCCACCAAAAGCCACGGCTCAGTACGGAGGTTCTATACTTGGCGATGTCTTTTTTCCCAAGTTTTGGAGCTGTTGCAGACAGAGCCTGGTGGCACTCCCTTCAAAGATTCGCAAAGCCCACCGACAATACCATTGAAGCCACGGGCATTCTCATAAATGGCCGGCAAAAATGAACCGGCCACTCACATCTTCTCTTGGGGTCGTTGTTTGACCTACACGAGCTTTGGGCCGCTCGGGTTTGGGCAGACATCCCATGTAATTAGTCACATGAGCTCACGAAACGGGTGGCTTTGGTTTGGTGTCCCTGGCTGGCACTAAGCGGATACCAACTCCTGAGAGCGTCTGACACCTCTCGAGGGGTTGATTCAACCCCATTCAAATTTAAGCATCGTTCTTTGCAAAAACCGGCTGTTTTCTCGGGGTTTTTGATGGTTTCCTGAAAAGAAGGATCCCTTGGAAAGAATGGAACTGGAAGGTACCCCTAGCACTTCCATTCCCGTGGAACTTTCCACGCGAAATCCCTGCAGGTCTCTGCAGGACAGCAGTTCAAGGTCTGCATCCTGCACGAGCCGAGCAGCTCCTACGTCTGGGAAGAGGCAGGCGGCGGGCTTCCGAACAGCCAGGTCCTTCGTGGAAGTGGAGGGGGGGGCCACATGACCTGCTTGGTCTCGGGTCTCCAAATCCTTTTTATATTTTAAGATAAAATCAACATAGAGCAGAGTCAAGAGGTTTACTTTCGATGTAAGATGTGGGCCAAGTAAGGCGTGTTTCCTTGCCATTGCAAGTAGAACATACGTAAGGGAGAATCCCGTCGTGTATAGCTTATTATGGCTCTCTTGTTTGCTTGACACCGCATGTCCCGAGTTTCCTTTTTGGTGTGCAAAAGGGACGCAGCCATCGCCAGGTTTCGTGGGTTCAAATCCTTAGGATCTGGCGACGCCTCGCAACTTTTGCCGAGTTCGCAGTTTGAGCAGTCGTGTTCGGCCATTGGCTCGCATTGCTCAATCATCAACTTCCATTCGCTTGAGTTTTTTTTTCCCCTGTTGGTTTTAAAGGAATCCATATCACCACTGTTTTTTTTTTTTTCCCCAGGGGTCGAAAAACCACATGGAACTCAAAAAAGTTTCGCTTGGGCTTCAAGAACCAAGCCGGTTGGAGAGCCTGAAACCCCGGAGCAGCTGAAAGCGGCTGGCTGGCTCCTTTTGGTGTCCCTTTGGCGGAACCAAGCCAAAACAGGTATCAAAGTCCCAAACAAATTGGTAAACCCCATTGTGACCTCTAGAAAAGAATCAACCCCCCAAAACTTGGTGAACCCCATTGTGACCCCTAGAAGAAAGAGGTCTTGGGGGTCGACCCCCCATTTCTCCCTGCCTCTCGCCACTTCCGCCATGAAGAACCATCAGTGCTCAGGCGGGGCCTATGCACCATTGGCCTTCTGCTTCGGAGACGCAGGAGTTCGAGGCAGGACGTGCGGGGGCTTCCCCCAGAAAAGGTCCTGTTACTCACTCAAGTTGCTGGACTTTGAGCTTTTGGGGTTGGACCATTTTAGTGGCAAACCAAAAGTTTGGTTTCGGCCCATCAACTCAGGAAGTGAGGTTGGGGGGTCAACCATTGTTTAAACAAACAGCCCTGAATCCCCTTCAGCTCATTCCCGCGTTCCGGGACTTTAGTCACTTCTTGGGGTTGGACCATCTTGGTGGCCGTCCACTCGGGAATTGACTATAGTGGTTTCAGGTTGTCTCGACTTTGAAGCCCCCTTTCATTCCGAAACACCCTGTTTTGGCCCGTCAATGAGTCTGCTGAGACGCTTTCATGCCGGTCGGTCTGCTGAACAATCCGGGCGGCACGCCCCATGGAAATAACAAAGTTGGCAACGCCGAAAACCAAAGCTCCCGCTTAGGGACCCGAGTTGCTGGGAGCGCGCGATTTTAGCGCTTGGATGGTGCGACCCAGGGGTTCTCGCGGTGCTTCAGGCAAAAGGGGCGAGCAGTTCTGCTTGGGCTGGCTGAAACTTATGTTTCACCTAAGTCATGTTTGCCGATTGCAAAGGTTGATGGTTTTTCAAAGGATCCATCTCCCTGATATGCCTGGTTTCAAAGGACCCATCATTGCAATGGTTCCTGTGGTTATGGGCCCAAATTAAGCCACCAGGGGACCTTTTTTTTTTACATTTACCAGGGTAAGCCATTTTGGATCCTCCACCAACAAACATGGAAGCTGACAGGGGGTCCCTTTAAAAGGAACATGCTTGATTGGTGTAAGGGTACCTATTTTTGACCCATCTCTGCCAGTTTCAAAGGACCTGTTCATTTCGCACCACCTAGCAACCCCTGAAGGGAGGATTGCCCCGTAAATGCCAACAAACAACGGTTTCCCAGTGGTGCGAACGGATTGCGTCCGTCCACAGCATCTTGGGGTCACCAATGCGCTCGCCCAGGCCGGGGTAAGCCACGGCGGCGGTGGCGGCGGCGGGTTGCTGCCGTGGCCCCCCAGCGCGACGGCGCCGGCGCCAGCGCCGGCGACTGCCGTGCGACTGGAAGCAGGCCGGATGACAAGTGAGCAGCGCCCACGGTAGATGGTTCTACTACCTGGCTTCATGAAGGTGATAAGGCCCATATAAGCCTTGACAATCATGTTGGTATGCTCAAGTTGGTTTCTTCTAAAGTGGAGTGCTCTTCTTTTAGTTCTCCGCACATGGCAGATCCTTTCCCCGAACGAGAGCATCGTTACAGGACGGCCAGCAATCCTTCAGGAGTCAAACCACCATTTTGCCAGTCCCATTCTCGCCACCTGCCTTCCCCTGTTTGCGCACTGCTTGCCCATGAGACGCCGAAGGGTTTATGTTAGGATCGCGAATTCACTAGGGATCACACCGGTTTGGATGCGCTTCTGTGGTTGCACCTGTTGTTCCCCCTGTTGGCGCTTTTTCAGTAATCCAATAGTACTCTATGTTTTCTACAGGGGTCAATCCAAAAAAGCCACATCCAAACCGTTGTCTAGAAGGGGTGTTGGCTTGTTGCGCATATGCCGGCTATGCACGAAAACAAGTATGTACATATATAAATACAATATGTATGCAACACAGTCAGAGCTCCTGTGAGTATGGTTGCTTGAATGCTCTCTGGGGCCCATGCCAGCTTCAAGCGGCGGGGTCTTTTTGCCATGGCTCAGATCTTATGCGCCGACATCAGCTAAGGATCTCCGTGCTCGCAGGCGGTTTTTGGAAGCCTTTGCGGAAATCCTGAAACAGAATCACACACGCGTGCTCTCTATGTGTGTCTATATATATATATGTATATATATATACATATACATATACATATATGTAGATACATACATATATATATATATATATACGTTGTGTATGTATGTATATATATATATAGATACACATACGTCGTTTGGAGCTCGTCCACGGCCGGGGGTCCTCCAAGACTATTTTCTGTAGGGCAGAATCTGAAAATATTTGTTGTAGAGTGATATGGACCAAAACTGGAGGCGTGTTTGGGGGTTGGTGTACTTGGCGTGGGTGGGTGGGTAGGTGGGCGGTTTCAGCAGTTCTGTGTCTTCAAATAGGCCACAAAAGAGTGCTATGAGGGCCTTAATAATGAGAATGGGGTTGTGGGTGGCAGTAAAACGAAAAACAAGCCATGCTCATAAGAAATAAGGATTGATGCCTGTGGAAAAATTGAGCCCCTTGTATTTGTTCCTGCAAAATTCAGTCGCATGGCCAAAGGTTGGGTCGAAGAAGACGCCGTTTTGCCCAACCCGCGAGGTATCGATCGCTGGATTCCCTGGGGTGGCAGTGCGTGCGGGTCGCTGAAGGCGAGATGGCTTTGGGGCGAGCTGCGGATTGGTTGAGAGTTGGGTTTGTGGTTCAGCCTGAATTTAGGGTGTCTAGGGTTAGGGTGTCTAGAGGTGGCCCAAGGTTGGTTTTGGGATTGTTTGGGGGTTCAAGGTGTGTGTAGAGCGGGGTTTAGGGTTGGGATCGGGTGGGATTGTCCAACGGTCTTAAGATTGGTTTTGGGCTTTTCGAGGAAAACGGGGAACCACAGAACAAAACAAAATGCATCAAAGGCCGACTCCATTTGTGCTCTTTGAAGTGGCAGCTCGAGTTCTCAAAGTTACGTCATTTCCCTTAGGACTTGAAGGGACTCAATGATTTTGACTCGCCGCCAGGGGTCCCATTCCCCACAACGCCCCCTCGGTTCCAAGCATCACCAGTTGGGTTGCGATTCTTTAGGTGCGATTTCCATTACCCTCCCTCCCACGAACGTAGCACCTGACAGGGATCCCTTTGAGAGGAAACTTATCTTCCTGGTACCCTCCACAGGTGCTATGTTTGTTTGTGGAGGAGGATGCTCGCCAGGAGGGCCCAGGCGGCTCCTACACGCGGTGGATCCGCTGGGCTTTTCAATGGGGTTATTCAACGCTCGGCTGGGCAGAACAGCTTGCTGGTGGGCAGAACAAAATAATATCACCAGTGTCCACTTGCCAGACTGCCAAGAACTTCTTGACCCACGAGGGTTCCAATTTGGCGGCCTAATGGAGGACAGCCACAACACTCTAAAAGACGGTTTGGATTTGCGCTTTTTCTGGATTTCACACAAGTTCTTCCCCCTGTTGGTCCCTTTCTTTAGCACTCTTTTAGTACTCTTGTATCCTACAGGGATAGAATCCACCATTTTGCCATTTCCAAGCCGTCCAGAAACACCGCCAGCCCAGTGACGGACGTACGCCTTGGGGTGGCGCGCCAGGCGCCCCGGAGCATCTTCCACGCCTTCCACTGGGCCTATGCCTTGGTGACGGAGCGCCTGGCGGACATAGGCCTGGCCTCTGGCAGGTCTTTGCGGCTTCGAAGGGCCGAAGGATGGCGTGGGGGGGAAAAGGGGGGAGGGGGGTTCAGCCTGGGGACCAAACCCCAAGTAACCATCGGTTAGCATGGGAGCCTACACCCCCTAAAGGCCATTTGAGCAGGTGGTTCGGATCCTAGCTAGTTTCAGGATTAAAGAGTTTCTTGAGCCTGTCGAAGCACGTGGGTAGAACCAAAAGAGTCAAAGCGTTTTGGGCGCTGCTTAATTGTGACCCACCCATTTCCTGGTGGAGATCTCGACTCGAAATATGTGCTAAGTGTACCAATTGATTGGGTATGGTAACTGATCACAAAGAGCCTATCCAAGTACATGGATGTTCGGAGTCAGCAAGTGGTTCGACAAACTGGGTAGCCCACCAGTAACCTAAGTGGACGGAGTCATAAGGGGGTCACCAAAGTCACCAACAGAGTACAGTTGGGTGAAAGTAGATGGCACGATTCCACTTGCCCATATCATATGTTTCCCTGGTGTATATTCCCAGTAACCCTTTGCTGGATTGGTATGCACAATTGAAAGGGTATTGGTATGTCTATTGTATATATATATATATATATACATATATACATAAACATATATATATATATACACATGTATACATATATATATATATATGCCCATTTTTGTACATATGTATATACATATTTTTTTTAAAAAAAAAATAATAATATATGTTTACACATATGTTTACACATATGTTTATACATATGTTTATACATATGTTTATATGGTTGGGCCCCCACATGTTCCTCACTTCCACGTGCCAAATTCGTTGCCTTGTGCCGCAGCCGCCCTGGGCTTCGACGGGGTGCAGCTGAGCCCGGCGCAGAAGTCCAAGTCTGGCCGCTCGAGACGAATTCGGGGGGCTATCGTTTGTCAACCCCTTAACAAGGCCATATTAAGGGCTTCTCCTTGGCTGATCCTTGGCTGATCCTTGGCTTCTCCTCGGCTTCTCCTTGGCTTCTCCTTGGATGATCCTTGGCTTCTCCTTGGCTTCTCCTTGGCTTCTCCTTGGCTTCTCCTTGGCTTATCCTTGGCTTCTCCTTGGCTTCTCCTTGGCTTCTCCTTGGCTTCTCCTTGGCTTATCCTTGGCTTATCCGTGGCTTCTCCTTGGCTTCTCCTTGGCTGATCCTTGGCTTCTCCTTGGCTGATCCTTGGCTTATCCTTGGCTTATCCTTGGCTTCTCGTTGGCTTATCCTTGGCTTATCCTTGGCTTATCCTTGGCTTATCCTTGGCTTCTCCTTGGCTTCTCCTTGGCTTCTCCTTGGCTTGTCCTTGGCTTTTCCTTGGCTTATCCTTGGCTTATCCTTGGGTTCTCCTTGGCTTATCCTTGGCTTATCCTTGGCTTATCCTTGGCTTATGCTTGGCTTGTCCTTGGCTTCTCCTTGGCTTCTCCTTGGCTTCTCCTTGGCTTCTCCTTGGCTTCTCCTTGGCTTCTCCTTGGCTTCTCCTTGGCTTCTCCTTGGCTTCTCCTTGGCTTCTCCTTGGCTTATCCTTGGCTTCTCCTTGGCTTCTCCTTGGCTTCTCCTTGGCTTCTCCTTGGCTTCTCCTTGGCTTCTCCTTGGCTTCTCCTTGGCTTCTCCTTGGCTTATCCTTGGCTTATCCTTGGCTTCTCCTTGGCTTCTCCTTGGCTTCTCCTTGGCTTCTCCTTGGCTTCTCCTTGGCTTCTCCTTGGCTTCTCCTTGGCTTCTCCTTGGCTTCTCCTTGGCTTATCTTTGGTTTATCCTTGGCTTATCTTTGGCTTCTCCTTGGCTGATCCTTGGCTTATCGTTGGCTTATCCAGGGATAGCCCCCCTTCGTCCCCCCCGCATAGCCCCGCCATAGGGGTCCATGAAGGGAAGCACTCGTAGCCTTTTGCTACCGAGTGACTCGCGAGTGTACGCTTTGGGGTCATTTGTGTCTTGAACTTTGTAGGCCTTTTAGAACACCATTTTAGTGGCAAGCAACCACTCTGGACTTTTCTGATGAAAATCTCAAGTGAGGCAAGGGGTTGGTCTCAGGCCTCGAAGCGGGTTCCCAGAGGCGCACCCCAAAAAGGGCGCCCGAGCCGGCGAGCGATTCCAGGGATTGGGGGGTAAAAGATGAATTTTCAGGTCTTCTCGGCGTGGAACTTTGATTGTAGGCAGGGCAATTCTGGTTAAAGCAGATGGCTTTGCGGCCAATCCACGGTGGGATGCGCATTTTGAGGGCGGCAGGTACCGTGTCATGAGACGCCCAGCGGAGGCGGTTTGACCCAGAAGAGAAACACCCCTCAGGAGAGGAGGGTACAACTTGTTGGCACTGGATGAATAACAGCCCAACCAACGTGAAGCCAAACTGACCTAAATGAACACCTCGGGTTTAAATCTGCATTCCGACCTTTGTGCTGAGGCCATGAGTGGTGGGCACGCTACCAGCCACAGGACTGGCTGGTGTAGTGTGGATGTCCTGATCACCACCACGAGAGGTACCCTTCCTCTCCCTCCCTCCCTCTCTCCCTCCCTCCCGTTGACATAGCACTTGACAGTGTGGCATTGGTCCTTCCGGAGACATTTCATCTTCTTGTATCCATCCCATGGCTTGTTGGCGTGACACTTCTTGGGACTCCATACTGTGGATGGACGAAATCCTGCATCACTGTGAAACCATGCGAAACCATTGTTGGTTGGTATTTCCAGGGAAACCATCAGAGGATCTCGTCCATCCACACTAATGACGTGCTTTCCTTACCCTAGAACCCCCCCCCCAAAAAAAAAACCTCTTTTTGGGGGCAACGACACGAGGTTCCCCCGTTTTCACCCTCCATCGTTTCGAGGGCGCCGGACCCCCGTCGATGGCGTGCTCGTTTTCAGCTCGGACCCCTCGGCGTTGCTTTTTTGGCCCCTGGAAGCCCAGCCCGAAGGCCAACGAACTGCGGTGTGTTTGGCCAACGAAGCAAAGTGGCGAGCAGTTGCAACAGCTGGAAGCCAAGGAAATGGAGCGAGTGTGGCTAAAATCCTTTGTGATTCAACAGATCTTGCAGTTTGACCCTGCCATCTAGTATCTAGGTTGACTCATTGCCTTTCATGCTTTTTGCATCCCCCCCCCGACTTGGCCGACGCTTTTGACGTTTGGACTTTCCGTCTAATAGGTCCGATCTCATTGACCAACAAGTTATATCATCCATGCGTTTGGTCGCTGCCCTTCCAGGTTGGCGAAACACCCAGATTCCCCCACGCGATTTTTGAATTGGTGCTTTTTTTTTCCAAGGGTGATTCCCCAACAGCATACGGCCTGTTCAGGTTCCGTGTAGTTCGTTTAAACATCACCCCCTCTCCGCTAGACCACATACATCACGTAGTTTTCCTATACCACACGGGAGCAAGCATCACCCTGAAAGTTGGCCAAGGTCATGTTTGAAAAAAAAACACATTGTGACCCCACAACCCATTCCCGAAGTCTGGGAGCTCAAAGACCAGTTGAAATTCTGTTGCGGCTCCGATCCTTACAAGGGGCAAACCACCAGACCCCGGCGCAAGAGCCCCAAAGTTGGCGGTCTTTTTTGGGAGGTGTCGCCTTTTTTGCTTTTGAGTTTCTCACTTCCCGAGTTGCTGGGCTTCTCACTTTTTGGGAAGACCATTGTACATGGCCAGCAACAGTTTGAACTTTGTTTAGCCAGTCTGCTCAGGGTGTGAGTCAATACTTTGGAGATGGCTGCAAAGAAAAGGAAGACAGGTGGATAGAAATTAATCAAGAAATGGATCCCCGCCCAGGACTATCTCAAGATCGAGGGCCTCGGCTCTTTCGAAGAGCTGAAGGGCCTTTGCGCGAAGGCGAAGGAGCAACGCCAGGTTTGTGTCTGATACGTATGTTTCGTCCTGTTGCTGCTTGCCTTCTTGCTTGCTTGTCTGCCTGCCTGCCTGTCCGCGCGTCTGTCCGTCGGTCTGTTTGCCGGTCTATCTGCAAGCCTGCCAGTTTGTCGGTCGGTCTGTCCGTCCTTCCGTTTGTGTGTTCGTTTGTGTTTTTTGGCGTCGATGCGCGCAGACGTTGGCGAATCCTCTTCTTGAAAGATGTCGGGTGAACCAATTTGGCTGTGGGTCAACATCAATGGTACCATTTTGGGGTAGGTGCACCACACATTCTAGTCTATATTAGTGGGGATTGGGATGTTCACGGGGGGGGTACGTTTTGGATTTTGACCCACGGCCATTTGTCAATTCGCTGAAACCGGTCGGACCTTGGAGCTGTTGGGTTTCTAATGTTGACCCCGGATTAAGTAGAACCTCTGGTTGATTTTTATCGGGGGGGTGTCCCCTTTTAGTGGGGATTTGGAGGGAACCCCCCCTAATAATGGGACGGGTTCTACTTAGATCCTGGGTCAACATCAGCATAAATTCTGTCATCTGCTGTTTGGTTCTTTGATCAATCCAGTCGAGTCAGAGAAGCTTGCGCTGTGCCGAGTAAGCCCGGGGAGTCGGAGGCTGGTAGCCGTCCAACGGGTGGTTTCCTGAAAGGGATCCCGAAACTTGTCATTCCCACAACACCTGTTGATTTCCTAGTGAGAATTCAAGACAAACTCGAAATTCAAGCAACCGTTTCTTCTGACTTAAAAAATCTGGAGAACCCATTCTTCAGATCCTCAAATAGACCCTTTCTTTACACTCAGAGGGGAACCCTCCCTGAGTTCGGGAAGTGCACGTGGGATCCTGAGGTCTCACGGCAATCGCGCTGTGTCGCCGAAGGGAATCGCTTTCTTTGAGTGGATTCCAACGGATTTGGCGAGTTTCCTTGGTTCAAACCACCGGCCCCACAACAAGATCCCAGGCGGCTGGCGAATAAAATGGCTTGACAGGTGATGTTTTCGGCATCCCGAAGGGGAAGTCTCGGCAGGAGCTGCGGCTCCTGGTCTTGGGCGATGTGGTCTTCAACCACATGATAGCGCCTCAGGCTGCAAGGTCCTGATTTGTGTCTCCGAAGCTTCAAACATCACTTTGGGAACCAGGGGGAGAGGGAACTGTTGGGAGCCCCATGTTCGTACTTCCACCTTTCGTCGTGGTTTTGAGCATCACAGTTTTGGGCAGAGTTAAATCACATTTTGCTTTGGTGGTTGGTGATCGTCAGTCAACTTTTGAAGGGGAAATCCGGTGACCCCTGTGATATGGCCGGCTTGGGGACTCACATTTTGTCGCCGGCTTCAAAGAGAGATCGTGCAAAGGACACCATGTTCTCAACCAAAGGGACGCTGCGGGTTTGTTTTGGTTTCCTTTCAACACCATCCAAAGATTGACAAACCAAAAACAAACCGAAGCCTATTTGGGGCGGGGTGGCCCTATTTTTGAGTTTTCTTTTTTTGGGCGGGGGGTGCCCTTCAACAAATATCATTTGGATACCCTGGGAAAAAAAGACCACCTATCTGACTTGCTGCTTCGTTCCCAGCTTCCACATCTTTGTGTCGTGTTGTGGATGAGAGCCCGGAGCAGCCTGAGCCGTGTGCATGAGAAGCTCACTCCTACTAGCTACTCACCTTTCCAGACTGTGTGGGAGTTCACCTGAGAGACTTGGGAGGTGACTTGAATACTCAGTTGACCCCATATCAATCAACCAACCAGTTTATTAATAGGGGGGTATTTTTTGGTCCAGTGGGGAATCAGACCACGTTTGGAGGGGAACGCCCCCCTAGTAATCAACTGGGGTTGATTAATCTGGGCTCATCAGTACTCCTTGCCTGGCTGCGAGTTGGCTGGTCATGGACACCTTCCGTGCACAGGGGCTATGAATGGGCCAAGGATTTAATGACCCCATGGTCCCAATAAACTACTAGGGGGTGTTTCATTTATTGGCCATCTTCATGAAATCGGGCAGGGGTCTTAGGGTTTACATTTTGGGAGATTTAGTGGCCATTTCAAAGTCCGGGGGGGGGGGGGGGTGACCTGCGTTTAGACGAGCCAAAAATCCGCGCCAAGGGACAATTCGACAACAAGACAATAACACAACAAAGACTGCATACAAGAACATCCACAAGACAGGCCAGCCGAGCAGTTGTGGGGTTATGCTGGCCATAAAGAGTGTCCCCCAACTAGCACTGTACTTCAAATATCCAGCATTCGACCATCCCCTTTTCTCTGGGCCCCAGTAGGCCAAGGTGGGAAATTGTTTCCCACAAAAAGAGACGTAGTCTCGCCCCACACTTTTAAAGGCACACTTCTTATCACACAACTCCACATTTCAACATTGCTTCATATTCCTCTGCCCTTTTGGAGACCCCGTGGAACCCCGTGGAACCCCAACGAAGCGGCCCCCAAGGTGGTGGCCTCCGGCCACGAGTGGAAGGCGGCGCAGAAGTCCCCGGAGCGGCTCAAGGAGCTGCAGCGGCGCTTGGTGAGACCTTCGGCGGAGACGACATCTCGGGTGGTTCTTGGCATCTCGAGTTGTTTGTTTGGTTCAGTTTGTGTGTAGGGGGCTGCAAGCAACATCTATCAAGGCTTTCTTTTGATTTATCTATTTATCTGTTTATTTATTTTCCCGGTCCCCTTCATTTCTTGTAGGAGGCAGCAAAATCATGTGTTTTGCTAGTTACCACACCGAGGATTGTGAAGATCCGATGGGGATTGATCAATATGCCCAGCTTTCCAGCCATGAATTTGGGTAGTTTTTTCCCACGTGGTTGAACTTTCGCATCTTTTTGTTCGTGGTTGTTCCATCCAATGGTCATCCCATGCAAAGGACCTTTTGATCAACTCCCAGATGAACATGTAACCCGCACAGAGAGGCGCAGGAGTCAAAGGAGTGGCTTGTTGTGGTTCTAATCAGTGGGGGCGCTCAGGGATCCTGGATTTCGGCGGGTAGTTTTTTTTTTTTTTGAGTTGGTGCTCCCTTCTTGGTGGATTTGAAGGGAAGCCAACCGCAAAACTGTTGGGCCCGGCGGATCCGCATTTCGCCTCAAAGGTCCGGCGGGCTTCCGTCTGGGAAAGTATCTTTTCTACTGGGTTCTGCCTGGTTCCAGGTGAAGCAACTTTTGTTAGCTGCCTGGGTTCAAAAGGGACCCTCAAGCTTGGTTCGGGGGTCTACTTGTTTGAAAGCCCTGGGCTTTCTGAATGGGTTGCTGACGGGGCTCCTTTTCCCTTCAATGGGTACCCGCAGAAAAAGACCGACCCAACATTTTAGCAGACTTAAGACTAGAGTCTCAACATATTTGTCTTCTGTGCGCTGATTTGGGCCAAGATCCCACCCGCCGGGCGTCCATTTTTTTGTTTACATGTTCCTATGGTTTCCCTTGGCAGGTAAATGAAACCTTGTGTATATTCGGGAGTGCCCTCATAATTTCCAGAGTGCGAGAGAGCACAGGGACGCTTGGCTCTTTAGGTGGTACTCCAAACCTTTATAGCTACTAAGCAGGACAAGATGCTATGTCTCATCTCACGTTTGCCCTGAACATTCCCATCATGAACCTTGGCATGGACTGCCTTCTAGTTCCAGCCTTGGAGTTGACAGTCAAAACTAGGGGGAACACCCGTTTTGAACAAGCTGGAAAAGCCTGATCCACCCCACCTCTGCTGTCAACAAACAGGGAAAAAGAACGTCGTCTTCTTGGGCGTTGGGTTGGAGAAGTCATACTGTGGATGGTTGCGAGCTCCAGTTCGCACGCCCTGGTTTCTGACTCGCTTTTCCAACGCAAATATTCCCGCCAACGTTATGGTTGCAACGATATGGTTTGCCATAGTTTCCCAGGGGCTTATCATAAGGGGATTCGATTCCGCAGTTCCATCCGTCTCCACTGAGCTTCGGGGGGCGCTTCGGGCGCGCCTTCCGCAGGTCACACGGCCATGGAGCTCGAGGACTTCCAGTGGCCCTGGTTCGACATGCGCCTCTGAGAAATCGGCGCTTGGGCGGTCCTGAGTGTAAAAAGGGGGCAAACGGGTCTTGGGAATTTTCGGTGGGTTGAACAGACCCCTTGTTTTTTGTTTAGTTTTTTGGTCCTATGAGCTAAGCGAGCCATAAAGTCTTGGGAGTTTCTGGGGGTTGGGACACCTCGGTGGCTCCTAGCCATCCGGTTCCTTAGCCTTTTAGCCCTTGAGTGTTTAGTGGTAGTTCCCATTTAACCCACTAAAAGTGGTTCACTTCTAGCGGAGGATGCGAGGGCAGCCCAGTTTGGATTCCTTTTGGTTCGATGAGTTAAGCAATCCATAGGGTCTTGAGTTTCTGGGAGCCCTTTGGTTTGTTCTTTTTGGTTGGTTCTACTGTGGATGGTTGCGAAGTCCAGAAATTGCACCATCGTTCAGCAACCCTGGAGTTTCTGATTCGATTCCCTAACGTAAGTACCACCACACGTGCGGAAGTTTCAAAAATGGTTTCAACCATGGATTTCGTCCATCCACAGGAGTTAGGAAGCCATAGGGTTGGCCCCTTTGGCCTAAGATTAACAAAAGTCACAAGCGTAGGCGTTTCATCAGCTTTGCCGTAGCGCAGGGGCCGGAATCGCGATTCTCTTCTATGAATCTCCCATGACGAGATTCAGCATGGTATCCCAAGCCCCCATGTTCCCATGCCACGCGAAGTTTTTAGCACCTTTGGCCTTAGATTCTTCCCCGTTTTGCCCATTCGCCTGGAAGAGGACCTAGCCGACCGGTGCCGTGGACGCTCTAAGCGCTTATCTTGCAGCACTGAACCCGAAACAACCAATACCTCAAATGAAGTTAGTTTCAAAGTAGACCCCATGCGCAAGTGTCCACCACACCGGGCGACCCCCTTAAACCCCTGAAAGCTTCTATTCGAAAGCGCGACCAAAGGCAAAGGTGTTGAGGCCCTCCTAAAGTTGAGCTTCTTAAATTTGTCATCACCAACTTTAGAGGGCTGTCGGAACATCCGTGCACGAGGTCCGGAGAGCACTGGGACAACGAGAATCGCTTTGAGGCGCTGTCCATCGGCCCGATCGGTCGCTCGCCGGCGCCGCAGGTGGTTTTTTCCGTTTTGGGTGGGGGGAGGTCTCGGAGACCTGAAGCTGAGGAACTTGGGGAGGTCAGCTGGTTTGGAAGGAGCCGTCACGGAGCTGGGGGGTAGTCCAAAAAAATGCTTTTAGATAAGTAGCTAAGGAGCTACCAGGAGGTCTGTAAGGACATGGCGGTATGTGTGACTGCCCGTCCTTCGCTCACTTGTGATTGCTCCCCCCCGGCCGTGCCCTTTCAGTGCGAAAGGTGAAGCATGTGGACCCGAAAGGGGTCCCGTTTCAAACCGGGCACACGGAAACAGGAAGTCCAAAAGGGCCCCCTTCTGCTTTCCAAGGCTGTAATGGGCGTTGGACCCTGTCCAGAGGCTAACCAAACGGTCAAATCGATTCTTTCTTGGAAAGGCCATGCGAGCTACACCAAGAAATTGAGAACCCAATGGCACAGATGCCATTTTGGGATAGGTGCACCACCCATTTTAGTCCGTTTTAGTGGGGATTGGGATGTTCACTGGGGGTGCGGGGTTTTGCGTTCACGCTTTGGACCAAGCCGGTGCATCACAAGCAAGAAGTGACCAATCAAGCCGTTACAGGCAACGCTTGGTGGAGACACTGCTCAACTTGTTGATCCCCTAGGCAGTTCCCCTTTCCAGGAACTACCGCTTGAGCCGGAGCCGTGTGTTTTTGTTTCTTCGGAATCAACGAGTGTGCTGTGTTTCCGCGGACGACCTCTCAAATCAACAAACATCAAAACAGAGCCCCCCTGGGAGATTCCTCTAAATAACTTTCAGGGAGTCCATGCTTCTTTTGAGGGGAGTCAGCTCGTTCTCTCGCGTTCCAAGCTTGGTTTGCGCTTAGAGGAACATTCAGCGCCATTTCACCCGGCAGGGCTGGGGCAACGGAGAGTGGTCGGAGCTGCGGTACTGCAAGAAGGCCTGGGAAGGACAATTTTTTAAGCAGGTGCTGGGCTTTTCAGCATCGGCCCACTGCAGGTTATTTTGTTGGATTCTTGCTCTGGGTTTGTGAAAAAATGCGGTTTGCCCAGAACCTTCCGGGTTTTCTCTTGAGATTATTTTCTAGATTTGAAGGTTCACGGCATGTGAGCCTGCATCAAAGATGACTCTTTTTTGGTGAGATGAAAGCGAAGATACGAGGGTCTCTTGTACTAGAGTCTAGAGCTCGTTTTCTGACTCAAGAGGGATTGTTGCTTCATGTTCTCCCTGGATCAATCAACTTAGCAAGGGGTAATTGGGGGATGGAACACTCATTGATCAACTAGAGTTTACTCTCCTGCAAATTAACGTGAAACCCACGCTTTTGTGTTATCAGTTTCTGGAGATTCCAATAAAAACGCGAGCTTGCTTCAGGTTCCATGTTAATCTGGAATTGCGTATTCATCCTCGGTTTTCATTGGATGCAGGAATATTCTCTTTTGCCCTTCACGTGAGGCCCGGTCAAGTTTCAACTGGTATGCTCCATTTAGAAGCATGGGGCACATAATCAATTTCCCACAAAGACCAGGGGTCGCACTAAAAGGGTGGTCAAAAATAGGGTACTCCCAACTGGCTTGCCCTGGCAAATGGAAACAAGGGAGATATTACTGCGGTCCTCTGCTGGTTTAGTTTTGACCCATACCCACATTTCCCATGCTCTCCAGGAGAAGCAAAATAACTTTGACTGTGACTCACTTGTCTCTCAGGTGTTTGACCATGGCAAATCTGAGTCACGAAACATGTAGCGCAGCAATGCGGCCGGTCTGCTCCGCGGCAAATCAACGTAGAATCCAAAGCGTGGCTCACCCCAAAAGGAGATTCCTCTCAAACGCTTGTTTTGGGCGAGTTCCATATTCATCTGCAGGGGAGCATTTGTTCATGTGTAATCCTCGCTTGCGTGAGTGGCACGTTTTTGCACGACCTCTCATTCTTTCTCCCTGTTCATGCTTCGACTGGTTGGCTTTATTGGAGGATCCCTAAACACGTTGTGCGGTATCCCCTGAACACCAACCAAAAGGTGGTCCCGGAAGAACAAACTCATTTCGATCCAGAGCACCGTGGTTGCCGCACGTTTGGTTTTCCCATGGGGTTGGTCTCTAAAATGAGAGGGGGAGGTTTTACGGAGTGGACTTAGGTGTTAACAGGGGCAAAGAAGTGCCTCAACAAAATACGCACGCGCACCCCTTGTCAACCATTTTTGGGGTCGGTTTTCATCTCATTTCTTCCGTTGTTGTGTGCGGAAGGGGGAAGAGGGTCTTCCCCATTCCATGTTCCATATGGTCCTGCAGGTTGCGTTGTGGGCAGGATTTTGGGATGTTGGGCCTTCCCTTGTCCATTTTCCACATGGTCTCCCAGGTGGTGGACGTGCAGCAGAAGCACCTTCAGCTTCTCTTGGACGCAGGCCGGTTTGGTGAATGGCTTGGGGAGGTGCTGCATGGGCTCAAGTTTCAGGTGGCTGTGGGTTAAAACCAATGGGATCCCATTTTGGGGTACCATTTTAGAACCTATTTTAGTCGGGATTGGGATGTTCACTGGAGGTACGGGCTGTGACCCATGGCCAGATATCCTGCTTAATATGGGACCCAAGCCATCATGCCTTTGTTCCCGTGACTTCAGAGGCCGCACCTTGTCTTGTGAATGGCTTCTTGCGGTGCGCGTTCAAAGAGCCACCAAATGTAAAACATGCAGGTGTCTTTTTTTAGTGATGATGTACGTGATTGCGCTTGGTGTGCAGTGCACAGCGCATGGATTTTTCGTAGACCCTATTCAATGCGGAACCCCCACCCACCTGCCCAATACGATGGCTGTGACCTGTCGCGAGGGTATCTCTGCTAGCTTTGCCCTGACTATACCCCTGCCCTGACTATACCCCAATGGGAATGTACCGTGGGTTTGGTGGAAAACTCCGGGGGGCGCAGCTAAGCACTTGCCCACCGCCATGATAGCAGTCTTGTTCAGTCGTATACTTACAACCCACAATTTCCATTTGCTGAAAGTTGTTTTTTAATGTTCCCCTCTTGGTTTTAAAGGGAATCGATTTCACTGCTGGACATATTTTCTCATTTTTCCCAGGGGGTCCAAAAAACCAAATGGAAGACCACCACTTCGGCAGGCGTGCGGGGGATCCGCTTCGATGCCGTGAAGCACATACGCCCCAAGCACGTGGAGGCTCTCCCGGTTGACGTTGGTTGGGCCGGGGCTGTGTGGCTGTGGTCTGGTGGGCGCTTCTTCTATTTCTTGGTGTTTGGAGTGTGCTTTTCTCCAGCGATGACTTCCTTGCCTGGCGTTTTCGGGTTTACCGTTTTCTATTAGAAGTCCGTTGGTTTTGGGGTCAGTTGGGTTGCCTTCATTTCTCTCTCTCTCTCTCTCTAGTGTTCCCCCCTTTTCTTCGGTTACTACGAGGTTCATCGCAGTTGGTTTCCACTTCGGCCCACGAAAAAACCGCCCGACCTTTGGTTTCCTCCCCAAAGGTGGATTCCTTGAGCCCCTGAAACGGGCCTGGCATTCCATCGAAGGCACGCAGTTTTGTAGCCCATGGCTCGCTTTCCTCTTGTCTTTCAAGCGCACAGAGCACACAGAGCACATAGAGCACATAGAGCACGCATGGCTGGTTTTCCTCTTGTCTTTCAAGCACACAGAGCACATAGCTCTTATGGCTGATGTCTGGTTTCCCTTCTGTTGTTCAAGGCCCTCGTTTTCGCACAGCGCGAGAGGAGCATTTGCAGCACCTGCAGCCGCACGAGGTCTTCTCCTATGGCGAGGTGCTGAGCCTTGGCTTTGATTGACTCAACGGGGCTCGCCGTTCGCGCACGTTCGCCAGGGTTTCATGGAACCTGGTTCCATGTGAACTGGTGGGAGGGTAAGTAACATGGAGGTCTTACAGGCAGGTTTTGGGGTCGGACAAAACACAGGGTCCACTTTAATCGACCTGGTGGAATTTGGGGTGTTTTTCGAAGAAGTGGAGCGTTTCCCTCAAATTGTCAACCAGAGGTTGACTAATCTGTCCACGTTTGGATTCAACCGCGCGTTGGCTGGCAAGGTTTTCTTGGGGTGATGGATAAAGCCAACTACCAATCCTTGCTTGGATAAACCACAACTACCCACTGGCGCGACCGGTCTGGGAGGCCCCTCCATGCCCCTGTGAGCTTGCCAGGAGCGTCGACGCTGCGATGCACCAGGACTCTGGGGGAACGTGCTGAAGGCAACCATCCTTTCGATGACGCCACGTTTCCCCGAGTTTGGTTCAGTCACGCCCTCCCCCCATATGGGTATGGGTCAAAATTAAACCACAAGGGGACCGCAGGTTTTAGCATGTTTCCATTTGGCAGGTTTCCATTTTGGGGCACCTATTTTTGACCCACACCCACCAGGGTCCGCGGGGAGTTGCGCCATGTACTGTCACCCCAGTGCAGAGAGCTCGGGGCCAAACTTGCGTACCCAGGTCCGTTTGGCAACGGCTGTTGCAGCAGACCTACTAATTGCTAGGTGCTTGCCCCACATGGCTGAGAACATTGTCTTCTTGCCCCAAACTTAGGAACTCCTTTTGGATGGCTTGAAAGGGAAACCACAAGAACACCCAGGCTGGTGGGGGCCCCAAAACCTGCTTTTGGACCACAAGCAAAAACCACAAGGAAGCCAGAAAGCCGCCAGGTAAACCACCAGGAAACCGGAGAACCCGCGGTTTTCCTCGCTTTTTTTGCACCACTTTCGGAGAACACCCGTGTTGTTCCTCAGTGTTTGCACTGCCTCGTTGACGGGTTTGCTGGCTCTTTTTGCACCACTCGAAGCCGGGTTTTCAAAGACTTCCATTTGCTTAAGACTCTTTTATTCTTTTCCTCCCTGTTTTTTTTTCTCTTTTCGGGGAATCGATTTCACTACTGGACACATATTTTCTCTTTGTTTTCCCCTTTGGGTCGAACAATTCCTCAAGTGGAAGACGCGAGGAGTACATGGAGCCTCTGAAGCTGCCCTCCACCGACTTCCCGTTGGCCGTGTTCCTGTGCGCCCGGAAATCCGGGGAGAGAAAAAAACGACTCGGGGCGGCCGGATGCGTTTTTTGCTCCGGGGAGAACCGGATTTTGTTTTTTTTCCGGGAGAACCGGAAAAGCCGGGAGTGTGGGGTTTGTCGTTGTTTTGGAGGGACCTCCCGTGATTTTTTTGTTTTTTGTGGGTTTAAAGGGAAGCCAAAGGGAAGAGCGAATTGGGGTTCCCACAAAAAACTTTACTTAGGGTTGTGGTGGTTATGCCTGTGAGAGCATATTGAGAGCATCTACGGCATGGAGGGAGAGCCATTCTCGAACACGTGAATGAAGGGCAATGCCTAGGATGATGATGATTTTTGGGAACTTCGTCCATGGTTTTCGTCGCAGCTGTCGTTTTGCCACCGTGCCCCTGGGAATCTGAGTGGAAGCCACCCATCTTTAGGCTTAACCCAATGTGAATCGCTTGGCTCCTGCGGCCTCGGTGCCAAATCGCAGAATCCGGGTGCTCAGAAACACGGCTTCCCTTTTGACTCGCTGTTGATCCCCGCAAAAACTTTTTGGAACAAGACGACGGGGTTCAGTATATTTCCTCTTTTGGTGACTTGCAACATCACTTTGTGCCGACTTAAGTTGCGTTTCCTTTGGGTGATGTTTTTAAAAAGGAGGTGGCTTTCTACACTCAACGTGGCACCTCTGGAGGCCCAAAGCCAACCCCTGTGTGAGGTACCGCGCGCTCTCAGAGGCAGGGCGCGTACGCCCAAAAGCACATCGCAGGGAATGCGTAAACACCGGTGTTTGCGACAGGCAGAGTATGCCTATCACCAGAGAGCTCAATGAGAGGGGCATAGAGATGGAGTCAACACAAGGAGACCCTTCGATCTCACAGCGATCCCGGCCAATCAGTTTCTTTTTGGTAAACCAGCCAAATGAGGACCCCCGACATTGAAACAACAGCCCCAAAAGGGGTTGGGACATTTATAGGACCTGTCCCCTGATTTTGTTGGAAGTTTAGGGCTTGTCTGCTGGTTTTTGTGGACATTTGGCGAGTCCTGGTTTTCGCAATACGTGTAGTGAGTCCCTTGGTTTTGGTGCGAAATTGCGCGAGTCATTCATGTACCATAGACTACCGGAAAGTGGACCACCTCATGTGTTTTTGGGGCATGTCCTCTGGACGGATTCCTTTCTTTCTCAGGGCGTCAAGGCTGCGGACGAGGGTGTGCTGGGCGCCTGCAGCAAAGTAGGCCACGCCGGCGGCGGGACTCCGGCAGTGGAAATGGACTCAAATATCCTTTCCCTGGTATGACCACTTTCTCTAGGGACCCTATGGTGGGTTGCATATTAGTGGGTGGGAGTTGAAAAATAGGTCAAAAGCCATTACAACATATGGGTTTGTGTCAACGCAGAGACTTGAACCTCAAAATGATGGTTTTTGTTTGGGCTTCCACTGTGAATCAAGGTAGAAAGGATACCCTCAGTAAAACACACCCATTGTATAGGTGTGCAACAAATGGAGGGGGGGGGAAGACCACCCCTTCGTTCTTGGCAAGAAAACAACCTAGATTTTTTCAGCTCAAGATGCGACCAAGCAGCAGCCAAGATCAAGCATGCTACCCATTTAGCTAAACCGCAGACCATTTAAACCAGCATTAGCCAAGTGCAGCAACTGGCAAGGTTTGTCAGCCAGTATAAGAACAGCTGAGTGGATCTTTGCTAGGATTTCGCAACCAGCGTTGCTCTCAACAAAGGGCAAGCATAAAAGACAAATTAAATCGTGGCCAGCTATGGAGCAAGATCTACCCGAAGGTAGCCAAATCCTCCCCCAAACAAGGGAGTAGGCTAATTTTCTGTGAACAATTTCCTGTAGCTGGTTTCTTAGATATTTGTCTCGCCTCAGCCGCCACACGCCGCCAAATGACCAACCACATCGGGGTGTACACCCGCCATTTGTCGCGTTCAATTTTGAAAGCTTCATTCAATGACAAGGCTTCAACTTTTTATGAACATGAATAGCTCTGCCAGCACTCTTCGCACTCGACGCTCCAAGTCTTCGCAATGATCTTTGTCGCAGGTTCGTCCCCCAGTGTTTTTCGTCTCGCTTGCCCTGCAACTGTCACAGTGCTTGGGGGCTTTGCTTGTTCCTCACTTTCCCTGGTTAGATGCTCGACCGGTATCGCTACCAACCATAGCGATGCGGGAGAAAGAAGTGAAGCTTTTTGGGCAGGCGACGGCCACAAAGTGGTTATATCCCACGTAGCGCGCTCGTAAGTCCCCGATGACCAGGGTAGGAACCAGTTAGCTAAGTCCCAGAACCATCAACATACAAGAAGTGCTCAACATATTGACCAGCCTGAAACAGCTTGTCGGGTATCTTCACCTTGGGGTGTCTTCACCTTGTTTTGGGTTAATGTAAAATTGCCCATGTGAATCTTTTGGCCAAGGGGGGCTCGGTCAGGCCTCGCTGCAGCCCCGCCCAAAGCCGCGGCGAAGCCCGCTGAGTCCGCCGCTCTGTCCGCGGACTCCGTGCGCTTCGCGCGGAACCACGACACGGCGCGGGCCGCGGGCTTCGACGGCGCGTGGGGAAAATGTGTTTGACCCTTATGGGGGACTGAGAGGCCGTGGCGTCCCTCAAAGGCAAGAATCAGGTGGGGTGTCAGGGTCAAAAATCTGTGTGACCAAGGGCACCCACTTGAGAGTGACAGATTTGCTATAGGGATGGCCAAGTTTGGTATCACCGGCTTCTTTTCCACAACCCTGCTGCGGCGCTGCGGCGCGCTAAGCAGTTGAAGGGAGTGGCCCTTGGTTGCGCCCTGCCACCCGAAGGCGCAGGGTACTGGGCACCTGGATTTGGGGACTTGCAGCCATGGAAAGCGGGCAGAAACCATGGTTACTATGCTTCCCCAGAATCCCTTTTTACTTTTTTGCTTTTTTGGGGTCCCCTTTGTTTTCCACTAACAAGGCAAAACAGATCATTTTTTGCTGGGGTCCTAATTCCAGCCTACTATGCACTTACCACCCTTTTTCCAATGGTTGAAAGTAGCGCCTGGCAAGTTGGCAACCCTTTCTTGAACCCCCTCAGTCAACCCCAAAGTTACCCCCAGGTCGCCCCCCATCTTGAACCCCTTACAACCAGGGTCTCTATATCAATTTGGCCAACAAATAGAAAGAACACTTTTATTTATTTATTTTTTTGGGGGGGGCGGGGGGTGGCGTTCAGTGGGATGTTTTGGGATCAGGTCATGAACCCGGGGCTCTACTACGGGCTGAACCACTCCGCCGGGGGGAGAAGCGCCTTGGTGTGGCTCTGGCTCCTCAGCGTCCACGACGGCTGCGTGCTGGTCTTCGCCGAGGACCTGCAGAAGGCGCGCGCTTGGGGCATGCCGGCGCTGTTTTGGCGCTTGGCAGTGCTGGCTGGGTGGGGGGGCGGGGTACCCTAAATGAGCAGTACTGACCTCTCTTCTGAAGAGGTGCATTTTGCCAAGGGATGTTGGGACTTTAGCAACAACTGTTTGCCAACTAAGAGGGGCTTTCCGAATTGAACCACTAAAAGTTAAGCTTTTAGCAAGGGAGCAGAAAGCAAGCGAGTCTTGGAGGTTGCCACACTTGGCTCTTGCTGCTTGGAATCTATCCCCCCCAGGTTTTGGTTGCAATTTAGTGCCCCCCCCCATGTCCCAGCTTCTTTTTCCTCAGTTCGACCGAACCTCGCACAGCCGCACCACGAGGTTTTGGAGTCGCGGCTTGCAGGCTTCGCATGCCAATCCGTCGCTCTGAAAGTCAAGCGGCGTGGCGATTTTGCCCGTGCAAACCGTTGAAATGTTTGGTTGGTAAAAACACATACACCTGTTCCCAAAGAGCATGCCAAAGATCAAACCAAGCAGACGAGCAAGCGGCAAGAGTCGAAAAGTATGGCGCCAAGAGTGGTTAGCATCCATGGCTGGGAACTCACATCTGTCTTTTTCGCAAAAGCAGAATTTGAGCGCTCATGTGTCAAGAGACACCCTGCGAAAAGGAGCTTTCAATTCATTGCCAGGCTTAGAGCTTGGCGTTTTGCGTCTTTGGTTTTCCATCAAGTTGCCTTCAACCAGCTGAGGCCCCCAAAACGATCAGGCGTTCAGGAACCAGGAAATGACAAGGGCACGGATTGCAAGTCTCCGAACAAAAGGATCGGTGAGCGAAAGGAAGGGTTCCAGTGGCTGTGTCCTTTTTTTGGGGACCCGCCAAAGCGGCGGTTGTTCTTTTCGTTTCGCTTCAAAACGACACAAAACTGGGTACCCTCAAAACATACACCCGAGTATGAATATTAGGGTAGCTTTTGGTGGACATCACTTATGTGGGGATTTAGGCAAGCACCAACCACTTGGGCGTTCCCCAGTGATGGGCGGCCGAACGAGTGTGCCCCGTTTTTTTCAGGGATCATGATTTGATTCGCCGCTTTTAGCGGCGTTTCAAGGAAACCAAAAGCTTGGCGCGAAGGGAATCGCCTGAATGGACACCGCCCACTTTTGAAAGTTCCCGTCGGAGACAAATTCGATGAGCCGCACGTCACCTCCGCGTAGGCCGGGCCTCTGCTCTGCCGGGGTCTACGCTTCCGCCGGGACATGGCGAGCGCGAGCTCTTCGGAGGCGTCAAGAAACCACCCAGGGACCGGAGGATTTTAATCATAGGTGGTCATTTTAGGTCAGCTTTTTAATCATAGGATCATCATCTTTAGGTCATTTCAGGATTTTAATCATAGGTTGGCAAATAGATGGATTGCTTTTTTTTTCCCCATCCACCGGCCTGGCCATCTTTATTTTTTGCGCAAGGTCACCACTGATTTGGTGGGCGCGTCGCGCTTGCTTGCTGGTGCGACAGGTAGGGAATGATCTTCCGGGTGTTGAGCATGAACCGGAAGTCGGGATTCGCTGAGAATATAAATAGGGATGGTTTATAGGGGTCGTTCCAAATCGTTCCACTGGGTTTTTCTTTCTGAACTTGTTTCGGAGGGATACCACTTTTCAAATCATCCCGTGTTCGGGGGTGTTTTTGCCAATCCACTCATCCCTTTGAACGTTAAACCAAGCTGAAGCAGGGTACCGTCAATAATCCACGCGCCAGGGTTGACCCGACCCCTTTGGTGCAAAAGAACTTTCAGAGCCAAGTTAAGCCTAGGGCATACTTGGTGGCTCCCAGCCATCCCCTTAGCTTTTGAGCTTTTTAGTTTTTAGTGGTTGGATTTCCATTTAACCTGCGAAAACTCAGTTACTTTTAGCGGGGGATCTGAGGACAGCCTGGTATAGACCAAGCCAATACTTCGAGCATCATCCCAGCTATAAGGTCAACCTATTCGAGTACCAATCCTATATTGTCCCAGACAAATCCTATCGAGAACTTTCAGACCCAGCTATAAGCTGGACTGCTATTGGATTGGATCTTTAGACTTCACTTTTTGGTTGAAATCAAGGTGTGTTCCACGAAATCCCCCCAAAAAGTTAAAACAACTTTTTGCAGGGGGGTCCTTGCAGCAACCAAGTAAGTGCTCAAGATAGGAACGAGCCTCGCAGGTCTGCCTCCGGTTTTCGGATGAGAAGACGGCGCCGAAGCTGCTGCTGGTCATCTTGCGCAACCCGAGCCTCTGCCAGACTTCGTAGCAGCCGTTTGGGTGACTTTGGGGTGGTTGATTTTGTTTGCACCCCAAAGCTCCAAGCCTAGAAGCTATGTGGGGGAGTCGTTTTTTTTCTTTTCTGGGGGTGCAACTTTTTGGTTGGTTTTAAAGCGAGCCAAAAGGAAGTCGCCCATTGGGGGGGGCCACCATTTTGAGACAAGCCCAGGGGAGAGTTTCTCAGAATGGACCCCCTACTCGGTTGAGTATGTAAAGGGACGCCAAAAGCACACTGTCCATTTTAAGGGAATACGTGTGGGACTCCATTTGAATGGTGGGTTTGAACATTGCCTTTTGAGCCCCAAAGGCCGAAGAAGGTTAGAATCAATCTGGGGTGGGTGAGGGCCTGATTCGCCCAATTTGGATGTGGGTCAAAACCAATGGTACCATTTTGGGGTAGGTGCACCACCCATTTAGTCTGTTTAGTGGGGATTGGGATGTTCACTGGGGGTACGGGGTTTTGACCCATGTCCATTTTTGAAGGGCACCAACCGCGAAAGCGGAATGCTGAGGAGTGGCGAACTGCTGGGGCTTGCAGCGGTGAACCTCAGCAAATCCGCCCTGGAGGCAGCGAGTAAATGGCGCAACTTGTTGGGTGGAGTCAAGATCCATGTCTTGGTGGCAGCCATCCCCTTAGCCTGTTAGCTTTCTAGTGTTTAGTGGTAGTTTCCATTTAACCCACTAAAAGTTATTCACTTTTAGCGGGGGATCTGAGGGCGGCCCAGAAACAAGTGAGCTACCTTCCCGATTGTTCATTTTTAGCCGTCGAAGGTGGGAGGCCATTTTGAAGGCTTTGCCGCTTGTTTGTCTGGCACCGGTGTTTCTTGCAGCAGGATATTCTGGACTTGTTAAGAGTCGCTTTGATTGTGCGGCCGGCGGTGCCAAGTTTGATTGAGCGTCTCTTTTTAGACGGGTGATGTTTTTCTTGGGGGTCTGCGGAAATTAGAACGAGGTCACTGATCAGGGAAAAGGGGGGGGGGGGTTACGGGTAAAGTGAGCTTGGGCTCCATTTGTTGTTGAAGTTTTACTCATTTGGCAGTGGCTCAAAACAGGGTACCAAAATGGCACCTTGGCAAATGGGACCAAAGATTGTCACCTGCGTAACCCCAGCTCTTTAATTTTGAGTGACACCCATTGGGGGGGTCCTACGTGTGACACACGTCCATGAAGCTGGTCAAGATCTTCGTGTTGTGATTCTTGACGTCTTTGGGCTAAGTCTTCATCACTGCGTAAGTGCAGATGCCTCCGTGTGCGGATTGCACAACACGTAAGCGCGACTGGCATGGTCAACGGCCAAGAGTCCATGGGTTATCACCAACGTAGAGACACAAGTGCCGGAGATTGAATTAGCAAACCCGCTGAAGGAACGGGGAAGAGATTCGAACCCCGGTGAGTCAAATATACCCTGTCTTGGGTCCAATATTCCGGGCGCAGGGCGGTGTTCCGATTCCACATTGCTCACTGTCAGCTTTTCCTTTTTGGTCATAGCGCTCCCCTCAGTGGGTAAAAGATAATGCCAAGGTTTTCCAATGTTATTCACCACCCAGGACCTGATATGGACTTGTTTTTTGGTTGTACGCCTTTGACAAAAAAACATAGCTTGTTTACTCCCTTTTTCCCCAACAACCTGTTGAACACGTTTGGATTTCATAGTGATCTTACACGCAAATGACTGAAGCAAAAAAAGGATCATCCGAAGAACAAAAGGGCCATGCGGGGATGCGCGGTGGCGCTTGGCTAAGTCCGGGCCCTGACCGAAGCCATCGCGCGCTGGGCCGAGCCCTGCCTCGTGAGGTGCCCTGCCTCCCGGTCAGAGGTGAGCTGTCGGATGAGAGCGGCCGGCGCTTGCGCCTGGAGGACAGGAAGGGTGCGGGACACCCCGAGGTCCCGGACTTCATGAGGAAACCATTTCGGTGAAACATGCAAAAGGTTTGGATTTTTGGGTTGGTGAATAAGGTTTGTGTTTTTGTTTGTAACCCACTTTCGTTTTTGCTTGGCCAATCCGTCAGATTTTTGGTTTGCCAATCGCATAGGAAGTGAGGTTCTTCAGTGGAACCTGGCTTGTCACTTGTTTTGGCGGTTTGTCTGTTTCAGCTTCTATCGGGTGAGGTGTTAGGTGGAGCCCGCTTAAGCCCCTGGATCCTTCTGCAATCTGAGCTTGGCACTTGGTGTTTAGAAACCAATTTCTATGGTACAAAGGGAAGCCCTTTGAATGCGACTGAGTAAAAATATATGGAGACAGCCTACTGTGGGACATGGACGTGGTTGTCCATAGCTATGGGTCCGTCTCATCAACGGGCCGAAATGGCTGAAGTCATTTCATCATGAAAGGTGGCTTCCGGCCACCTTGAGTTTGTACTTGCGCTAGCAAGGCTTGCTGCAGCTCGTGGCAGTTTGGAGCTGTGTTTTGGCAAAGACGTGGAGTGACCAAAGCGGATTCAATGTTCATGTGAGCCTTGCTCAAAACCCGGGTAGATGAAGGTTAGGACACCAGCATGAGTAGGTGCAGCCGCCATTTTTGGCTCGAGTTTTCGCGCGACCATATGGATCGAAATTGTCCTACATCGGGATCTGTTCTGCAATGCTTAGCGAAGATTTTGACCTCTGCTGAGATCACGGCCGGCAAGCTGGCTTTCATACGCATGTGTCACCGGAATGGAGGCCGACAGCACCAGATGCCGCCAATTTTGAGCGTTTTCAGAGTTTTCCAGTTTCCTGCCTCAGGAAACGGGTCGGGGACTCAACTGTTCCGCCTCCTCCTCGCCACTGTGTGTGCCGCATGTTTGTATATGCAACAACCTATGCCGGAAGCGCGGGGAAATCAAACCAGCAAGTCTCACTTTGAGTGGTCCCAGGGTGCTTTTTGCGGCCGGCCAGAACGTCGACAAGAAACACAAAAGCAATCGATGGTGGCGTTGTGCAACAGCTGGCATGCCAGGAAGAATAAGTGCAATCTGTTGGTTTGGGGGATGTGGTGGCAAATGCTGGGTTGTCCCATCAGCTGCCCACCTTGTTTCCGGTATTGAATGATGCCACCCCTCCGGCATGTGTCATGTATGATGATTTCGGGCATCCATCAAAACAAAGTCAGAGTTTGCCGAGCTCGCGCCAGCGTTGCTACTTTCTTTCGCTTGGGAAGGACGGACTTACCTTGTCGACGGGGGTCAGTTCTGAGGCAGGCAAAAGATCGCAGCCTCCTCGTTTTTGAAGGCAGCTCCTCAACGCAAGCCTGTCACAAGGGCCGAAGAGCAGGACTACGCTCGCTGCAGGGGGATCTCTCAGCGACCCGTTGAGAAGGAGATAGGCGCTCATCGCTCAAGGGCAGGAAGCACGGAAGCAGGGGCGCGAAGAGCTCCTCAAATTCTGAAAGGCATGCACTTCATCCTTTCGATTTCGATTGAAGCGCCAGCGGCTTGCGTCTGTTTGCAAGTGGTAGTGTTCCGGGGGGGGGTGGGTGGGTGGGGCGAGGGTTTGACGGGCAGCCCCCCAAACCCCCTTATTTTGCACGTACGTGTTCTTTGCAGTCTTGCGCAAGTTCGTTCATTGAGTCAGCCCCTTTTTTCGTAGGATCATCTAAACCACCCTCGCGCAAAAAGGAAGTCCCCAAAGCGGTGCGCAGTCGCGCGCAGGCCAAAGGCGCCAAAGCACCGCTTGCATGGCCAGAGCCTGCCGCGTCACGCAAAATTCTCCCACCCAAAGCAGGACTTGCGTGGTCGTAGGCTGCCACGTGTTAGAGTCGAATCTGTACTTACATGGCTAAAGTCCCGTTCACCTCTTGAGCTAAAGTTTCCAAAGAGGCGTCTGCGTGGTCGGAGGCTGTCGCACGTCAGGCTAGAATCCCCCAAGCATGGTCAAAGGCTGCCGACCGCCGCTTTTCCCAATTAGTTGTTGTTTTGGAGGGGTTTCCTCCAAAACGATTTGTAGTTTTCGCCTACTCAAAGTCGCGATGGGAACTTGGTTGAAATGCTGAGGCAAACAATTCTAAAAGTATTGGGATTAACAACCCTGGTGCGGGATTCTGTCCATCGACAGTATCGCCAGCTCACTGATTCTAGGCCCATGAGCTTGACTGTACGGGTTTTATCGTGAGAGTTCCGGAAGTCGATGCTTGGTAGTTTTGAGAATGTTCCTTTCCGACCGTATAATGAGAAACACCTTTGACCTCCTATTTGGCCTACAGCGGGGCTCGGTGTTGGCGATCATAAAGCATCCGGTTGCAGTCCTGGAAAGGACCAGTGCCTGAAGGACGAGACTGGAAGCTTGGCAGAGAATCGTTGAGCTGTTCAAAAGCAAAGACCCTAAGGCCCCGGACTGGTTTTGGATCCACGATGAAAACCTTTGCGAGCGCCGTGAAATGATCGTCTCTTGCGGCGGAGGACCACGCAAATGATTGGTTTCCTCTGGCTTCCCTGCGGCGTGGCGCGATGCCATGCAACGTTGGTTTCCCTTCAAAGAAGCCCAGCGAGTACCCTCAGAAACGATGACGATGCCCAAATGGTTTGATGGTGGACAATGAACGGTGAGAAACTCGGCCATCTCGTGAGGGAGCTTGCGCCACGCTGAGTTTCATGAGAGGTGCAAATTTCCAAATGAAAACCAGCAACAAGAAAAACAACTACAGGAAGTCTGAATTGCCAAACACGCAAAAACACTTGTCCTACCATTCCCTGTTGATGGCTAACGTCTGCCCCAGTTGTCCAAAGCCAACCTTTAGCCTTAAGGTCGCAAACGCACAGAAGTGTCCTTTGACGTCCACTTAACTGTTCTTGGCATGTTTTTAGGTCTTTACGTTTTGTGGTTCTGTTCATTTTTCGCCTTGGGCTGCAAAAAGCAGTTCTTTTTGCAAGGCCATACGCAAGGGTTGTGCAGTCCATGCCCTTGAAGAGTTGCCCTTTGCTGGAGGCCAGGTCACGACCATCGTCATTCCCGGCGCCGACGCGGCGTTCCTGCGGCTCTGAGCCGGCCAACCGGATCAGGCGAAGTACAGCCAGCCCACCTGGGGCTAAAAGGAGCTTTCCCATGAGGGCTCCCTGATTTCCTGTGTTTAGAATCAGAGCAATTTGGCCAGACCTTTTGTTTCCCCCTTTTGTGTTGTTGGTCCTGGTTTCAAAAGGCTATGCTTTATTATTTGTTTCCAGGTGCTTGGGGCAAGTGAGAGATGGAACAGCTGACCACGTTGGAACAGGTTGGACGTGAGTGATGTCGACTTCATCCAAACCTTTGCTCAACCAGGGGTAGGACCCCTCCAAGTAGCACCGCCCGTCGAATCCGAAGTTGACACTGAGTTCGACATAATCTCCGTTCCTCCGAAGCGTCAAGCAGGACAAAAAAGAGGTGCGCTATGGAGATGTTGTTGAAAGAAGGATGGTGGAACGTGTTCTGAAACTTGCACGGTCCAGGATTCGGAGATATTTTCCGGGAGGATCGTTGTGGAAGTCTTTGCCTGTTTGTTTTTTCCATAGAAGAAAGAATGGTCGTGTCTCGGGTTCAGTAGAATGTGTGTGTGTGTGTTCTGCGCGTCGCAGTGTGGACCCGGTCCAAGGCTCCACAGAACGCCCTTCAGCGACGGGATCAATGTACAACGAGGAATGTGCAAAGACCAGGGTTTAAGACCACTCGATTTGGCCATGTCCTCTTGGGCAAACCTTCCTGGACGCAGCACGGATGGTCTTTGCCGGGTCCAAGCCGACATGTCAATTGACGGTTGACTTGGGGAGGCCACGAAGGATGACCCCCAAGAATCCCTCGCATAAGCCACATAGCTTGTTCTGTTTTTTTCTTGGGGGGTCAAACTACTGAATGTTAAGGTTGAAAAAGCACCGCTTTGTGGGCGTTGGGCTGTGCGGAGGCCGGACGTAGTGAACACATGCCTCAAGCCTGCGTGGTGCAATGGGTCTGTTTCGCAAATGGGGCTGCCCCTTCAAGAGGTGGGGCCACGTGTTTCCAAATTCAGACTGAGAAAACACGTGCCAGCGAGTATACTGCCGCCAGCCATCCTCTTCGTCAAAAGGTTATTCTTGCGAGGGGGGGCCGCCGCTCGCGGCCCGTTGCAGATGCTGGCGGCCTAGTGCTGCGCTGGAGGAAGTGCAATGCCAAGCCCACCAACCAGAATCGTGGTCAGACGTGTCTTACTTAGAAACACGTTTCACTCTTTTTTGTTTGTTTGTTCCATTAGGTTTCCTTTCATCCAGCAAAACTTTGCCTTTTTGCAGGGGTCTAAGTCTGGCCCAGGCGTCGCACCGCCACAGACTTGGCGTGTTTGGAATGCATGCATGCTCTTCCAAACGGCATCTATTCAAGAGAATGGTGACGTACACTGGTAAGTGCCGCTTTTGGTGGGCGTCTTGTGAGTGACCGTGAGACTGAGTATCTCTTTGGGCGGGACCTGAACATTCCCTTAGGCAAGTTCGCCTTAGGCGAATTTTGGCTCGGTGATCGGGAATCCCCGCCTCATGTTGTGAATGATGCCCGCCAAAGGGTCCTCCAGTATGTGTTCTACCACGCACGGGCGATGCCTTTGTTTGTGGTTTGCTGGTGTTGTTTTGGCAGAGTTGGCGCGTTGCTTTGTTGGGGTAAGAGGCTGCCCAAAAAACACCAACCATATCCGTTTGGGGGGTTCAGGCATCTTGGACTTGGGTGTGTCTTTTTTGGGCAACCCTCCTTTTGGTTGGGTTTTACGGGGAAACCAGAAGGAAAGCCACCATTTTGGGGGTGCCCTGAAAAACACATACCCATTGGGCGACAGACGTTAATCGTGAGGGATCGCGTACACACACAGAGACTGATACCCACACACACACAGCTGCGCATGAAGGAAAGCGCAGCACACGATTGAACGTACGACGCAATCCAGAATATTTCTGACAAATCAACAGCCAGTGGCCCACCCTGAGCCATTTTGAAAACAGGACCGCACAGCAAAGTACCTAGACACCTAGATACCTGGCTATCCAGGAGAGCAGGAGAGCGCGCCAGACTCCAACCCTCAGGTTCCCAGTGCTGAAAGCCATGCCGAGCGGTTGAGATTTTCAAATCTCCTTTGATTTCTCTTATTCACATTGAAATGTGAGCTTTCCAAATTTGTGTTGAATTTTTAAGATCCAAGCAGAAACTGAATGGATTTCAATAAAGGACCTGTTCCGCGAATGTCCATCCTAATCTTGAATGATCATTGAAATAGGAATTTCCAAAGGAGTTTGATGAGACTTGATTAGAATCCAAGTAAAACATAAAAGGACACAAATCAAGTGCAAGTTTTATCTTCAACTAACATTTATATAGGAATTGATTGCCACATATGATTTCATGGACGTTTAATTACATTTCACATGGATTTCAATAAGTCAAATCTTGTCGTTTCTTCTTATTGGCCTGGCCTCCTTTCGGACAACTCGAATTTGTTTTACAATTTTTCACTTTGTTACAGTGCAGACAACCTCGAGTTTCCAAAAGCAACATAACATAACCCATACCCAAAGTGGGCACAGCTTTTTCATGTTCAGTATATTTGTGATTTGTTCAAGAACAGCTCGATAGATGCCCTGTGTTTTTGTGGTTTTTGAGCTTGTTTTGCAAAAGAGCACGCTTTATGGCATGCGATACTGGGCCCCTTGGGGAAATCGACCACCTGGGTTTAGGTCTACTGGGACACTCCAACGTTCAGGGAGGTTCTTCAGCATCCTGGTATCCATGTTCCGAGCGACTTGCACGTGGTCTTCGGCTTTGGCATTCTGGCATATGGCATATGCATGATTGGTGCGTTTTGCAGGCAGGCCATGACTTTTGAGAGTGGGACCCCCCCCTCTCAAAATGGTCAATGGACATCACTTACCATATGATATAAATCATGTCCACCAAAAGGGTCCGCAATGAAAAACAAAGCCCGGCTGGTTGGTTGCCAGTCGAAACTCAACGCGATCGAGATCTCATGTACTGTGAAGCCTGGGTTCGGCAAAGGGCAACTGGGATGCAGCACCTCGGATCCCCAAGAAATGGAAAGGTTTGGGGGCCAATAGAACAAGAACCCCCCTTTTCCTCGGAAGTTGTATGGCTATACTATGTGGATGGATTTTTGGACCTTAACTTGGGAAACAGAGGTTTTTCCATTGGACCCACACAAGTCAAGCTTTTTGCAGCGGGGTCAACAGCAACCAAGCATTTGTCACTGCTTCTTGGTAGGCGAGGAGCAGCTGAACACTTCTCAGACCTAAAGCAATAGACCGTTGTCCCCATCAAATAACTAGGTCCCCCAGTAGTGCCCTTTTACCAACTTTTTTGGGGGAGGGTTCTCTACTAAAATAGACAAAAAGTGTACCCTTATTCTATCCTCTCTACTGGAGGACCTAGATAAGGTTCTGCTGGTCCACATGAGATTCCTGTTCCAGTGAGCTTACCTCAAGACACAAACGTGTCCTTTCCAATATTGTCCCTGGCTAGGGGTCAACAATAGGTATTCAAAATGCCTTGCTCCGGTAAATGCACACATGGGCTAAAACCACTGGTCCATATCCCTGGTTTAATTTTGACCCAACAACAAAAATACCGTCGACTCCCGGACCTGGGGAGTGGCAAGCCCGAGGTTGAGAGATTGAGCGATCCGAGCTGCATGGCACTGGAGGTGTCTCGTGTCGTTACGTCGGGCGGATGGCGGATGTGCTCGGGCTTGGTGATAAGGGCCGGGAGATGGGTGGCTCGTCTCTTGTAGTTGGTTCCCCGTTTTTTCGGTGGTTTTGAAGGGGGGCCAAAAGGAAAGCAGCCTTCTTTTTTTTGGGCTGGGGGCGGGACCTCAAAAAAGACAGACCCAAATATACTTAGCATGGGTTGTGGGCGACTTTAAAGGCAAGTTAAGTTTATGATCAGTATAAAATCATCTAACCTCTTCTATTTTGCTCCTGCTGCCTTCCCCCCAGTAACATTCCTGTGGTTGTAAAAGCAGCCCTCAGCGGACAGCGCCCAAAACCAAACCTACAACCAACTCTCTTGGGCCTTATGGGACAAAGTAGCAGGGCTCCTTAAAAGATACATTTTGCCAATTTGAAACATGGCTTTCTCCACCAAAATAAAGGGAAGCCACCATTGACAAGGCAATGTTCAGGTGTATAATGTAAGGATCCCTGAGTAGGTTCCCATCAAGCAGAGGCCTGCATACCCCATCTTCCCTCGGAGCCGGTGGCTGGGGCGATTGGAAGCGAGGTTCAACCGCTTGCTTGGCTCGCGTGTGCCATAGTGAAAGCACTGTTTTGCTTGGGGCTGGCAGGGATGACACCAACCCAGGTGCTGGATGTTCGAGATGGTCCAAGGATCCTTTTTCGAGAGATGGGGCGTTGGATGCCTGTGGAGACAACGTGCGGACGGGAACTGCGGAGCAGGCAGTAGGATGTTGAACTTGGTGGACACGGTGCAGAACCTACCGCGAAATCGTGCGGCCAATCAAACGTTTAGGGTGCCCGAGAAGTGTTGATTGCACTCTGGCACTCCTGAAGTGGAGTTGTCTTTAGCTGTTCGCCTTTCCAAACTGCTGAACAGCTTAGCTCGGCGCCATGAATAGGGTGTGGGAATGACTTCTCCTCACTTTTTCGGCGACGAAGCCTCCCATTGGGAACCCGTTTGTTTTTGTTTTTCTTTCCCAGCGGTATCAGAGTCTGCACCAAATAGCGAGCTTACACGGTTGGTTTGCATGCGCCATGAATGTCACTTGTGTCACTTGCTCAAAACCCGGGTGAGTGAAGGAGTTAAGGGACAATCCCCTTGCCATAAATAGCTTCGGATGTCCGCCTTCTTAATTCTTGAAGCATGGTTCTGGGTCGACCATTTTAATTCCGGGTTTTTGATTATGACTCACTGGACACTGGAATAATTCTTTCCTGTTTGCCAGTGGCCTCTTTGCCTGGAGAGGCTCTGCCCCGCGGGTTTGCAGCAAGCGCTGAAAGGGAAAGCAGCGGCGATTCCCACCTGACCGGGTGAATACACATGGCTGTTGCGGACCCAAGTTTTTTTTTTTCGTGAAAAGACATGTGATGCTGGATGAAACCCTGGACGTACTGGGAGAAACTACCTACCAACTGGTGAAGGATTTTGTCCATCCACAGCAGGGACACTTTGGTTTCTTCCCATGGCTTCTTCCCTGCTGTGGATGGGAAAACACACACCAAGGTCAGATCCATTAATCTCAGCTGGATTCTCAGAACCTTGCTTCCCATTTATTTGTTCTGAGCTGATCTTTTCTCCAACACTGTTCCACTGGTCCAGCGTTCTGGCGCAGGTGCTTGCCTTTCTCCTTTGCTGCGAGGCGCGCGTTTCGGGGGTTTTGTCATGGGCAATTTCCGGAGTCCTTTTTTTGGTTGGGGTGGAAGTAGACGGCTTTTTTTTTCTTTTTTCTTTTTTCCGACTTTTGCCTGGTAACTAGGTGGGTTGACAGATGGGTCTGGTTTCAGTTGGAGACCATGTACCATGTGCGCTACGGGGGCTTTGCCCAGACGGCTCTGGGGTGGTTTGGGGCAGCTGTCGGGTTCCGGAGGGGCTGTTGGGGGAGGCGCTGGCGGACTGCGACGTCTTCGACAACGATGAGGAAACCCCACCCCAGCCGCTGGTGAGTCTCAAGTGGTCGGGTATGTACTGTTCCAGGGCCAACCCGAATGGACATCCCACCAAGAGGGCCTCATATTGGTATGGTTTCCGGTGTCGTCTTCAGTACCCGGTTGTTTGGAGGCCAAAAAGGTGAACCCCAACGGACACCACCATATGCTTGGTGGTATTCGTTGTTTTTTTTGTTGGGGTGGGGCCCTACAAAAAGACACCCACCTGGACGAACACGTATCGGTTGGTGTTTGTCTTTTTTGGTCGTTGTATTCACGAACGGTGTTTTCACCATTTCATTGATCCGGGCTGAGCAACTGGCTCCCAAAATGAAAGGGGGGCCCAAACGGTTGGCTTTCTGAAGGCTTCCCTTTCCACTCCCCAGCGTCTTTTTGCGAGAGCACGCTGTTTGGGGGTGGTTTTAATGTACCGGAATGGACCCCTGAAAGGACGCTCCGTTTGTTTCCCGATGCGGCAATCTGCACTGGTGTCCCTGGCTCCGCCCGCGCCTCTTTCCTTTGTCGAGCGGGGCTCTGAGTGGCTCGCGCACTGGTAGCTGGATGTAGCTGGAAATTGGCAAGGCCACCAGCGGATGGGTCCATTCAAAATCAAATCACTGACTGCGGGGACATGATGTTGCAGCCATTGAATGCAGGCTGCTCAATGTACGAGACAGAAGTGAGGGTGAGAGTTTTGACCCCATGAATCCCTGGTAGCTGGGGTTGAGCTCACCCATGGCCGCATGAGAAACCGCTCAAGCTGTCCAGTGTTTTTTTTGCACTAACGCCAAACCACTCTCTAATTTACCCAAGTCGTATGAAGCTAAATGTTGGGCCTCCTCTACCCAACGCAATTCGGACCGAGTCGTGTATGACAGGAAGCCGGCCAAATGTGGAGCCTCAAAGAAGCGGTGGGTCAATTCCTCAGGTTTTTACATCCAGAGGTCAACATCGCGCATGATTTTTTCGGCCTGCCATGGAAGACGAGGCGCGTGGGGTGACGGATGGGGACGGATGTCTTTTTTTTTGCCGGGGGTGCGAACCGCGTTTGGGTATGTTTACTGGGGAAACCACAGATTGGCGGTTTCTTTTTGGTTTCAACTGAGAAGGGACCCCTCAAAGCAAGACACATGCAACAACCTTTCTTTGTTAAGTAAGCTCTCTCTCTCTACCTTTCTCAGGTATCCCTTAGTTGGTGGTTTGGATTGGTCGTTCGGGGATTTAAAGCATTGGTTCTTGTTGAGGGCAAATGGGACACCGCCCCGTTTCACAACCACGCCACCCGTCCCCAACCCACCAATTGGGGGGAAGCTGACTTTCTCAACAGCTCCGGAGACCTCTCCCGCGACATTTTTGCCTGTTATTCCCTACGCCTTTCTTTCTCTTGGTCCTACGCTCCAAGGGTATGGTTCAAAATTTAACCACCAGCAAAAAACCGCAAGTTTTAGTCCTTGGTTCCAGTTCCCAGGGTTCCATTTTGGGTACGATTTTTTTTGACCCACAGCCGAAACACGGCTTGGAGGTCAAGGCCCTTCGCTGGCCCTTCCCCGGCTTCGGCCCTTCCCCGGCTTCAGCCCTGGCTTCGCTTGAGGCAACAAAGCGACGTGGGGCACTTGGAGTGGTGGATTGCCTGCCATCCCGATTTTAGGGATCGCGGAAAGGGGGCGGGTGGACATGGGTGTGTTTGTTTCTGATACCGTTTTTGGAGCTTATTTGAGGGAGAAGCCAAAGGGACGCTGCTTCTTTTTTTGGGGGGGGAAACTTCCCCGATTTTTTGAGCCCACTCAACCCAGGGGCAACACTTCTCTTTCTGGTCTCCTGCGATGTGATTTTACCGTTCTAATCTGGACTACATTTGGCGTACGGGTTGGGCCAAGTGGTGAGGAAGCTCCAGCAAGATGATGATGGGGAAGTTCTACTAGGAAATCCACCGTTCTTGGTACACCGCTTTAGTATCAGCTGGGAATCACTCACATGGTGCGTTTCGGATCTATTTGTTGAGTAGGCTTACACCCAGGTTGATTTAGAGTGGAGCCCATCATGGACGCCCGTGGGCTTGGATACCCCATAGTAAACTTCTTCCTGAGACTTTCTCATTTGTAGTTGGGTGAAGGATGGCGCACCCCGGAACCCCCCCGTGCGCAACTACTTCCATGGGGTCTGGGGGTCATCCGGTCTTCCCCAGGATATATTTTGGCCAGTTGTTTCACAAACCAAAGAAACAAGCAAACAACCTGCACCCAGCTGATTCAGAGGATCCCCTTGTAAGGCGGCTGGTTTTGGGCTGTATCCTTCATTTCTGGCTTCAAACAATTGCATCTATCACCCAGCTCAGAGACTCAGAGGATCCCTTGAAGCGGGTGCTTTTGGGACGTATCCTAGGAACCGCTCGCTTTTTTCTCCCCCTCCCCCCCTCGCTCCTCCTAAGACGTGCTGGTCATCGGTGCTGGGCTGGGCGGCCTTGCGGCGGCCCGGCGGCCCGGTGAAACCTCCAGGCTGCGCGCCCTTTTTCCCTTCTTCTGGCCTCCATTTGCTTAAGAATATGTTTTTGTTTTCCCCTGCCGGTTTTGAAGGGAATCTATCACTGCTGGAAATACTTTTTGGTTTTTCCAGGGGTCTTAACCAAATGGAAGCTGGGCGTGTGTCGGGGGTCCCTTAATTTCCGGATTTTTTTCACCTACTCCAAAGGTGACCACTAGGAGAAATCCAGCGGCCCCTGTGTGTTTCCACGACACGTGTGTTTCCCTTAAATGGGTATGGGGTCAAGAATTGAACCACCTGCGGACCGCAGGGTTTTAGTCCTTTCCAGGGTTCCATTTTGGGTACCTTTTTTTGACCCACTCCCAAATATCAACTGCCAACAAAAAGGAGTGCCCCCTTTTCCCAGCACTGGGACCCTCTGTTCATTAACCAAATAATTGATGTTGATGGGTTGCCATTAGTTTCGACAGGATTAGCACTTTGTGGGGGAACACCCCCTTTTCTCTGTTGGGTGGACATTCCAGGTGTGCCACAGTCGCTTTCGACCTGCTCTCTTGGGGGTCGGGATGAGCCCTTTCACTAGGAGTTCCTTAAGCTACTCTGCAAATGTTCCCATGGAACCCCAAAACCTTTCAGAGGGGAATCGCCTTGTTGGGAAATGGACCTTTCCCCCTTTTTGGGTTGCCCCCCAAAAAAAACCACCCCAACTGTCGAGGAGGCTCAAATTGGGGAAATGGACCTCCCTCGTTTTTGCCGTCGGGGCCACGGCTCGCGGCTCGGCGGCTCGGCTGGCCGCAGGTCCGTGAGCTGCGGAGAGGTTTCCAGGTCACCGTCGTGGACGCCAAGGCTGGGGTCCGTCCGTTGGCTTTCCCGGCCATTTGGGTTTTGCCAGGGGCGTGGTCTTGGGTTTTTTTGTTTGATTCGGAGGGGTTCTGGTCTTTTCGTGGTGGTTTGGAGTCTTCTCGGTTCTTTTGAACCTCCCCTTGGCTGAAAAAAAAAAGAGGCTGGCAAAAGAAACGCGGCCATGTTTTCTTGGTTTGGCCCCGCGACGTGGCGCAGGAGTACTTCGAGTTCACTCCAGGCATCCTCAGAGCTGCGGGGCCCAGATTCGGTCCATTTCCTGTGGGGTTTTTGTTGGTTACAGGGAATCATCATTGCAGGGCTTCTTCGGTGGCGCGAAATGGGTTTCGTGTTTCGTCCGTCCACAGTACCGGCAAGATTTCCCGAAAGCATTGCGAAGGGTTCTTCCGTGCGGAGCCCTTGGACAAGTTACACAGAGACAAGTTGCACAGAGCCAAGTTGCACAGAGCCAGGTTACATAGAGCCAAGTTACATAGAGCCGAGTTACATAGAGCCGAGTTACATAGAGCCGAGTTACATAGAGCCAAGTTACATAGAGCCAAGTTAGAGCCAAGTTACATAGAGCCAAGTTACATAGAGCCGAGTTACATAGAGCCGAGTTACATAGAGCCAAGTTAGAGCCAAGTTACATAGAGCCAAGTTACATAGAGCCAAGTTACATAGAGCCGAGTTACATAGAGCCGAGTTACATAGAGCCGAGTTACATAGAGCCGAGTTACATAGAGCCAAGTACATAGAGCCAAGTTACATAGAGCCAAGTTACATAGAGCCGAGTTACATAGAGCCGAGTTACATAGAGCCAAGTTAGAGCCGAGTTACATAGAGCCAAGTTACATAGAGCCAAGTTACATAGAGCCAAGTTGCATAGAGCCAAGTTACATAGAGCCAAGTTACATAGAGCCGAGTTACATAGAGCCGAGTTACATAGAGCCGAGTTACATAGAGCCGAGTTACATAGAGCCGAGTTACATAGAGCCGAGTTACATAGAGCCGAGTTACATAGAGCCGAGTTACATAGAGCGAGTTACATAGAGCCGAGTTACATAGAGCCAAGTTACATAGAGCCAAGTTACATAGAGCCAAGTTACATAGAGCCAAGTTACATAGAGCCAAGTTACATAGAGCCAAGTTACATAGAGCCAAGTTACATAGAGCCAAGTTACATAGAGCCAAGTTACATAGAGCCAAGTTACATAGCCAAGTTACATAGAGCCAAGTTACATAGAGCCAAGTTACATAGAGCCAAGTTACATAGAGCCAAGTTACATAGAGCCAAGTTACATAGAGCCAAGTTACATAGAGCCAAGTTACATAGAGCCAAGTTACATAGAGCCAAGTTACATAGAGCCAAGTTACATAGAGCCAAGTTACATAGAGCCAAGTTACATAGAGCCAAGTTACATAGAGCCAAGTTACATAGAGCCAAGTTACATAGAGCCAAGTTACATAGAGCCAAGTTACATAGAGCCAAGTTAGAGCCATAGAGCCAAGTTACATAGAGCCAAGTTACATAGAGCCAAGTTACATAGAGCCAAGTTACATAGAGCCAAGTTACATAGAGCCAAGTTACATAGAGCCAAGTTACATAGAGCCAAGTTACATAGAGCCAAGTTACATAGAGCCAAGTTACATAGAGCCAAGTTACATAGAGCCAAGTTTACATAGCATAGAGCCAAGTTACATAGAGCCAAGTTACATAGAGCCAAGTTACATAGAGCCAAGTTACATAGAGCCAAGTTACATAGAGCCAAGTTACATAGAGCCAAGTTACATAGAGCCAAGTTACATAGAGCCAAGTTACATAGAGCCAAGTTACATAGAGCCAAGTTACATAGAGCCAAGTTACATAGAGCCAAGTTACATAGAGCCAAGTTACATAGAGCCAAGTTACATAGAGCCAAGTTACATAGAGCCAAGTTACATAGAGCCAAGTTACATAGAGCCAAGTTACATAGAGCCAAGTTACATAGAGCAAGTTACATAGAGCCAAGTTACATAGAGCCAAGTTACATAGAGCCAAGTTACATAGAGCCAAGTTACATAGAGCCAAGTTACATAGAGCCAAGTTACATAGAGCCAAGTTACATAGAGCCAAGTTACATAGAGCCAAGTTACATAGAGCCAAGTTACATAGAGCCAAGTTACATAGAGCCAAGTTACATAGAGCCAAGTTACATAGAGCCAAGTTACATAGAGCCAAGTTACATAGAGCCAAGTTACATAGAGCCAAGTTACATAGAGCCAAGTTACATAGAGCCAAGTTACATAGAGCCAAGTTACATAGAGCCAAGTTACATAGAGCTAAGTTACATAGAGCCAAGTTACATAGAGCCAAGTTACATAGAGCCAAGTGGCACAGAGCCAAGTGACACAGAGCCAGGTGGCACAGAGCTAAGGTTAGGTAGAGCTTGCGTAGAGCTTCGGCGTTAGCAGCTATGTAAGTTAGTGTCGGTTTTTAAGGCGCCGGGACGGGAGTTTGAGACCCTCTGCGGAGATTCGCGTGGTCGAGGTCAAAAAACTGAGGACTTTTTGCGATTTCTGCGGTGCGCGCGCGACCCTCTGCGGAGATTCGCGTGGTCGAGGTTAAAAAACTGAGGACATTTTGCGATTTCTGCAAGCCGCGCGCGACCCTCTGCGGAGATTCTCAGTGGTCGAGGTTCAAAAACTGAGGACTGTTTACGATTTCTGCAAGCCGCGCGCGACCCTCTGCGGAGATTCGCGTGGTCGAGGTTCAAAAACTGAGGACTTTTTACGATTTCTGCAAGCCGCGCGCCTCTGCGGAGATTCGCACAAAGCACTTGCGCAGAGCAACTTGCGCAGACCAACTTGCACAGAGCACATGCGCAAAGCGCTTGCACGGAGCAACTGGCGCAGAGCACTTGCGCAGAGCAACTTGCTCAGAGCACTTGCGCAGAGCAACTTGCGCAGAGCAACTTGCACAGAGCAATTGCACAAAGCACTTGCGCAGAGCAACTTGCACAGAGCACATGCGCAAAGCGCTTGCACGGAGCAACTGGTGCAGAGCCCTTGCGCAGAGCAACTTGCTCAGAGCACTTGCGCAGAGCAACTTGCACAGAGCACACGCGCAAAGCGCTTGCACGGAGCAACTGGTGCAGAGCCCTTGCGCAGAGCAACAGAGCACTTGCGCAGAGCAACTTGCACAGAGCACATGCGCAAAGCGCTTGCACGGAGCAACTGGCGCAGAGCAACTTGCACAGACCAACTTGCACAGAGCACATGCAGCAGAGCACATGCGCAAAGCGCTTGCACGGAGCAACTGCGCAGAGCAACTTGCGCAGAGCAACTTGCACAGAGCACATGCGCAAAGCGCTTGCACGGAGCAACTGGCGCAGAGCAACTTGCACAGACCAACTTGCACAGAGCACATGCGCAAAGCGCTTGCGCGGAGCAACTGGCGCAGAGCACTTGCGCAGAGCAACTGGCTCAGAGCACTTGCGCAGAGCAACTTGCACAGAACACTTGCGCGCAGCAGCTTGCAGAGAGCAACTTGCGCGCAGCAGCCTGGAACAATGCAGCTTGCGCAGACCACTTTCGTGAGAAATCGTGCAGCGCAACTTGAGCAAAGCACATTGCGCTGAGCAGACTTGCGCAGAGCCACGCTTCACAGAGCCAAGTAGCAGAGCGCGTAAAGTAGCTTGCTTCATAGAGCCAAGTTACATAGAGCCAAGTTACATAGAGCCAAGTTACAAAGAGCCAAGTTGCACAGAGCCAAGTTGCACAGCGCCAAGTTGCACAGAGCCAAGTTGCACAGAGCCAAGTGGCACAGACCCAAGTGGCACAAAGCCAAGTTACACAAAGCCAAGTTGCACAGAGCCAGGTTGCATAGAGTCAAGTTACATAGAGCCAAGTTGCACGAGCCTGCTTTGCAGAAGCTGTTGCATCGATGTAAAGGGGCGTCTCCGCGGCTGGAAAAGCACATGATGGGAAGCGCTTGGGGGAAAATGCTTTCGGGCCAATCGTCCTCTAGTTTTTTTTTTAAGCTTTCTTTATGTACTTTTCAAAAGGTCCGAAGCCTATTTTGAGAAACGCTCAAATAGAAACACTCAAAGGGTGAGCGAAAAGCCGAAACCCAGCTCGTTTCACCATTTGGGACCTAGCTTGAGGCTCGTTCTCGACCGGACTCAAACGCCTCGTCGGTCGCTCGAGCCGCAGCGTCGCCGCTGAGGCTTATGTTCAGCCATCACACTGGGAGACGCTCATCTTCCCGTATCAGGAGGCGCTTTTTGTCAAAGGTCAGCCTGCAGAAGCTGGCGAATCCAGGGAAGGCTGCCCAAAGAAAAAAATTTTCTGTTGCCCTCCATGATGCCTTTTGGATCATGGACCCCAACAAAAACGGGTTGGAGCTGGCAGAAACCGGGTGCCCTGAATGCAGGTTGGATCGCGGATGGGACGCTTTTGCAGTATGAATCTCCTGACCTAAGGCCGCACTGGCCATGCCAACGTCCCAAAGCTTTCCGGAACCCTCGGGGATTCTGCCCCTACAACAGGAAGACTACAGGCGGATTCATTTGGCCATTTGGCAGTCCATGTTTGCGCAGTGAGACCCAAAGCAACTCGAGAGCACAGAAGACCATACCAGCCGCACCTCATGTTGTTTTGAATCCACTTCCAGAATTCCGGTGCAGCGACACAGCAGAAGTGGGCACGCTTACCTCTTCTCGAAGAGCCGCATAAAACCTGATATGTGTATTATGTATATATTTGGGGTTGAGTTCAAGACTGCTTGGTAGATCAGGGTAGACAAAAAAAGAATCGAAATCTGAACATATTTTTTTTGTGCACCCCAGATGTGGGCCAATATCGTGATATGTACATATATATATACACAGACCTATACATAATATATATATATATATATATATGTATATACACATTTGCATATACACATATGTATTCCCCCTTCCGATAGCTTTTCTGGACTCCACATATGCTGGTGCGCAAGAGTTTTGTTCACACTGAAGGCGCTCGTTGGAGCAATCTAGGTTCGAGCGTGACACATGCAGACGGCCCTTGAACAGTCAATCGCAAGGAGTTGCCCCTGTGCACGCCCTTGTGGAGACTTTGGGGTGTGTCTCGAATGGAACCCCAAACGGACCCCCCCCTCAGGTTTTTTTCTTTTTGGCATGTGGGTGTGCCTCAAAATTAAACAAGAGGGGTTACGCAGGTTTTGGTCCATGTTTCCACTTACCAGGGTTCCAGCTTGGTACAGTTTATTTGAGCCACAGCCATGTCCCTTCAGGGTCCTGTATCCCTGGACACATCAGGTTTTGCAACGGGTTTTGCGTGGCGGCCTGGAGCTACAACAGCCCATCGCTTCCCCCCCTTTCGCCTGTTGGGCCCCTTTTACATGAGCTTACTTTTGCTGGGGCGATGTTGTTCGGTTAGAAATGGGTAGGTGTCAAAATACTGTAGGTGGACACCATTTGAAACCATGGAGAACCATGGTTTGTCGGCATTTACCCGGGAATCATCCTTTCAGGGTTTGCTAGGTGGTGCGAAATGGATTTCGTCCGTCCACAGTAGGGTGCCCGTGTTCCCTCTCCACCTGGACTGCAGGTGCTGGAGCGCCGTCTCAAGGTGACCTTTCTATGGGGCGAGGTTTCGGCGACTCGGCGCACAGTGCGGGCGGTTTGGAGTCCAATGGCCAACGTTTCGGGGCTTTCAAATTCCTCCCAAGAAGAAACCCCGACAGGGAACCGTCAAACAAGCCGCAGGTGGTATCCCCAACACCAATGGAACATAGCTTTCAGCTGTTGGGGAAACAAGTACAAACGGTTGGCCGCCCCCCCCCCCTCGAAAATCGGTGGCCTCCATCTTTGGTCTTGCAATGAGCCACCCTTTGGGGCGCCAGTTGGACGCTTCCAGCCAGACATGGGGTGCCGTTTCTTAGGGAGCTCTGGGGATTCGGGATCGCAATGCTTGCTCGGAGGGCTGCAAGGCCCGCATCTCACCACGCATTTGTCCTTTGACTTGGACAGATGCACTCGATATTTCCTCTCGGCTGGCATCAACTTTTTTGGGCCCAATTGCGAGTTTCCTTTTGGAAGCATCGGGATCTCTGTATGGAAGCGCCCCAGGTCGGATACGATTGCCGTTGCAAGCGGCCCTTTTTGGCCCCGTGGCCACGCAGTTTCTTTCACGTCTAGTTTTCACGCCGCGGGCAACCCTAATTTTGCGGAGTGCGGTGTTTCGGAGAATTTTGCTTTGTTAGAGGTCAAAATCGGACTACACCCATCGGGGTCCCGGACATGACAGTCCAGGCCCCTTGGTTCGTTTGCAGGCCATAGACGCTGACGAACATTGCCCGCGCCCTGGGATTCTGAGGTGAGGGAATCCATTTTAATGCAACTTGTTGATTTTGGAGATGCAGGTGAAGTGCAGGTTGCCACCTTTTAAATTCCATTTTAATGCTGAAGTGCAGGTTGCCACCTCGACCAAGAGGTTTTGGAGGCGGTTCTTGGGTGTGCTGTTTCTTGCCGGTGCTTTGTAGGGAATGACGCAGGGTGTTCGGAAGGAACTTGTGGCTTCCCTGCAAGCAAACCACAAGAAATAGTGTATGGGTGTCATTCCCTCATTCCCGGCTGGGAATCAACAAGGTTTGAGTTGGAACCCGTTTCATGGGGTTCCATGTGAAGGCCAAGCCAGTCACCACTGGTAATGGATACAGTCCACTAGATCCTCTGAACCAAAATATTCCACCCCCTTAGGCAACGCATGGACCGGTGGGAAGACGTACACCCAACAAAGAGGCTTTTCTATGGGAGAATGGAAGGGGGGAAGCCTACATGTTTCCCAGTTGGAGGGGCTGAACCAACAGATTGACCTGCCTCACCCCCCCCTGACTGGCAGATGCCACGGTCAAGACCACCTCAGGAGAAGAGGCGCGGATTGGTTTGGGAAAGGACAAGGGGCGCCCAAGAATGAGGGCCTACACTTGAAGCGGGGCTTTTCACGGTCTCTTCTACATCCGGATCTGCTATGCTGGTATGCCTGAAGCGGGAAGAGGCACTTTGGTGTGGTTTTCAGGCAGGGCCCTGAAATTTTGGATGCATTTTAGTCTCATAAAACGTGAGATCAAAGGGAGAAATGCGCGGGCTAGGGCCTCAGCCTTTGGCAGTTTGTGGAGTACCACTTCTGCCTCATCGCCAGTGGGTGCAACTTCAACCAGTGCCTTGGCAGTCAGGAGCTGGGCTCGGGACGGGTCCTTCCAACCAACTCTGTGAGCTCGCAGGACCTCTCCCGGTTTGTAAGCCAATTTGAGTAGCAAGCCAAATGATTGGTCTGTTTTCGGCCCATCCGGCGAGTTAAAAAAGGGGGCCAGTTCTGCGGGTGCTCCTTCCCTTGGTTCTGGGACCCTGGGAGGTGCGGACTGTGCTCCTTCGCAAGCTGCACTCAATTTCCTGGGGGTCGCCATTTTTTTGTTTGAAAGCTTTCAGGTTGAGACAACTTGAAGCAGAAGCTGAAGGTGTTTTTCGTTTTTCTATTTTTTTTGGAGGGGCTCGGGGAAAGCAGCTTGGGGGGGTTCCTGGTGTCCCATGGTGCCAGCTCAGGTTTTCCCCCACTGGGGAGTCGCGCGCTAGCCCAGCTCGGCTTTCGAAGGGTTCGGGGACAAACTTGAATCAGAGTCGTCCATTTGGCGAAGCCTTTTTTGCGAGAAAGACACAAAAGAACAAAAACACATCGTCCCACCCATTTGGTTAAGTCTTTTTGTTTTGGAGAAAGAAAAAACAACACAAACACATCCCCTGTTGTTTGGAAAGAAGAACAATCCCCTGCTTGGTTTTAGAGGGGATCTATTTCTACTGGACATATGTTGTTTTTCTTTCCAGGACACGTAAGCAATTGGAGGTAGTCCTGGTAGACCCCCGATGTTCAAGTTCCATCGTGATAGTGGTGGCATTCTAACTTGACCCTGGTTTCCGATTTTTGCTTCTCCTCTTTTGTGTTGGTGACGCATTGATTGCAGTGTGTCTTGTTCAAGTTGCCAAGCGCCACGCCCACGTTGGATGTAAGAGTGAAAATAGTTGTCTGCATCCAGCAAAAGGTTGAGATAAGACAAAGCGCTAAACATGTTTTTTGCACACTTCTGTGAGACTCAAGCAAGCCAGTGCTTGCGGGGTTTCACAAGCTGTCCAGGCCTCCATGTTTGACAGATGACTGCTCGAGAAAACCTTTGTGTAAGAACCCGTGACGGGCTTTCCGGTTTGAGTCCCCGGATTGTCATGTTCGGTCATGAAGGGGGGGGGTGAAGGGTCATGAGGGTCTTGAGGGATCATGAGGGAGGGACATGAGGGTTAATATCTTGGAACAAGCTCCCGCATAGTGCCTAATAGGGTCTATTGGGGGCTCATTTCACTTGACAACCACACCGTGGATGGACAAATTTCCGCACATGACAGGAAGCCCTACTGTGGAGGGCCGAAATCCTGCACCACTTGGAATCCATGGGAAACCATTGTTTGTTGGCAGTTACAGGGGAATCATCCTTTCAGTTTGCTAGGTGGTGCGAAATGGATTTCGTCCATCCACAGTATGAAGATTTGCCTAAAACCATCTACCAGGTGCGACATGAATTGGTCCACCGGACGAACTTGCCGCTTTCGAGAGCTGAGAGCTGGAGGCCTTGGTTCCCCGTGATCCACGAGGTCAGCCGCATGGCGCCCGGGCGCCCGCAGATAACCCACGCAGCCCTCCCCCCCCCCCCCCCCACGGGTCCCGTTTTGGTAGAGGCAAACCCAACAACCAATTCCGAATCCCCCTAAACCTGACCCCAAACCACAAGGGTGCCTTCAATTTTTCTTTTTAAGACCCTACAAAAATAGCGGTTTCACTGGCAGCCACCCGGAAATCGATCCACTTCAGAGGAAGCCCAGTGATCCAAACCCCCCCAAACCCCCGTTTCGGGCCTTAGGAACTACCTGGACGAGCGGTACCTGGAGGGCCGGCGCCAGCGCATCATGCGGGAGAACCAGGAGTTGCCTGGAGCCCAGTGGCATAGTCATGGCACTTGTCTGGTTTTCTGTCGAGCTGCGCGCCTCAGCAGCTCCGAGACCCTTGGGATCTTTTTGATGTCAGGATGTTTGCGAAGGTCCACGAATTATATGGACCGGGATCTAAACATCCCATTTTAAGATTTCGGGGCACGAGCTGATGTAAACGGTGCATCTCTTCAATTTTGGGACCTCGCTATGACCGATGTGTGGTTATCAACCCTTTGGCCCCACTCGTTTGGGCCTTGAAGACCGAGACATTTCCTTTGACTGCACGACTGTGAGTTTGTTTGTTCAGGTGGTAGCTCAATTAGTGCACGGGACAGCGAACATGGTGAAAACGACCGTTATGATACCATTATGGATCATTCCCATGACTCAGGTCTGCGTAACACATTACCAGGGGATTCCCCTGGTTTGTTTTCTTCCATAGATCGTGACAACTTCAATTCATCAAGTTTCCACACCAAATGGTCCGATTGTGCAAACCAATTCGACCCAGTGGATCCCAGGCAAGCCACTATGGTAGGTATCCAGCCGTTTTCCGAAGGTGGTTCCGAAGTGAAAAGGTAGGTATACAACACTAAGGTAGGTAGGTTCCAACGTGTATGCCTACTGTAAAAGAAAAGACTTTGTTTCTAAAAGATACTTCCCTTGATGAAATCAATGGAAACAGAAACTGGTGTATTTCCAAAGGTGGCTTTTTTTGGTTCCCTTTGGCAAAGCCAGGGACATGGAATTTGTCGGTGAAATCAATGCCGTCCGACTCGTCGAGAGCGAGGAACGAGCTGAACACCAGAGAGGCTCGAGCCGCGCGAGCTGCTGAGTTAGTTGCCGCAGGGTAAGCCAATGATGTGTGCACGCCGGTGGGGTGTAACTCAAGTGGCCATGGGCTTTTCAAAATCCAAAATGGTACCATTGGTTTTGACCCACAGCCAAGTGGCAGTGATTTAGTGGGGTACTGATAAGTTGGGCTAGAACTCAAGTGGCAGCACTTGCTGACTTGGCAACGAACATCTCACCTTGCAAAAGTGGAAGTGGACAGGAGGGTTTCGGAGGATCCTGCCATCCTCTCCCAAACATCCACCTCCATTGGTTGGAAGAGGTAAGCCAGCCACAACTGCCAGAGGACGAAGCCTAAGTTTTGCCCTTGAGGCGTCATGTGATGGGATATTCTCACCCACGTTTCTTTTGACCTCTTTTGGGTCGAAAATAAGAGGGACCCCATCTAGCAACCATGTCTACACCAAGGAAAGTGCAGACCTTGCTCCCAAATATGCCCAAACAGATTCTCGCTTTTTCAAGGTACCCAAGACTAAATGGGTTCTAGTAGTTCTTTCAGGGTACCCTAAACTAAACGGGTTCTAGTAAGCCGCTTCCGATTTCTTGCAAAGGACAACGAGTGTAGCATCCAATTTCGGGAGGTTCAATCCCAACTTTTAAGCTGTTGGCTCAGTCAGCAGCCACTGGTTTTGTGTGCGCTGATTGACGAGCACGACTTTTACTGGTTTTAGAGGTCCACAACTTGGACAAACACACCATGCACGGTACCATTTCTGAAAGCTTCCAGCTCGTCCCGGCTCCCGAGCGTCCTGTTTGTTGGTAATTCGCGGTTGGAAGCGCCTCTCCGGGCTTTTCGTTTCACCCGGACCGCCGTCCCCCAAGAGCCATGCAGAACCCCGACCCTCAACCCCAAAAGCCAGCTCTTCTTCAGGCGCCGGCCGAAAAAAAGGGGTGACCCGTTACACCAGTACCCCTTTTCAAGGTTGGTACATCCATTTTCAAGATATGGGTATGGGTCAAAATGAAACCCCCAGAAAACCAGCATGTTTCAGTCTTTGGTTCCATTTACAAGGGTCCCATATTGGGTACGCATCTTTGACCCACAGCCATATGCAACCAGCGCCTGGAGCTCTCCGGCCGCCAGGCCAGCGTGCTGGTGGTGGGCGGAGGGTATCAGGGCGTCCAGTGGGCCTGCGAGCGCCTCGCCTACCTCCGGCTGCCTGTGGACCAGAAGAAACATAAACGCAGCCCAACGCGGTTTCTTCTGACGCCCTGAGTTCATGGACTTTAAACTTTGTGGATAGACCATTTTAGCGGTAAATGCAAAGTTCGGGTACTTTTTTGCCCCAGTCCGCTCGATCGGAAGTGAGTTTTTGTACAACCTGGTGGACCGTACCAAATTTTTGTTTCTGTTTGTTTAAACATGGCTTGGGGTTGGCTGGCGAGCATTTCGGTCACATGTCAGCTAGGCCAGCTTCTTCTGGCCTGTTTCTTTTGCACTCGCATCTCCCCCCCCCCCCCCCCCCTCGGTGTTTTGTGGCCCGGGTGCCGCGTGCTTTTCGCCCACCCAGGCTGAAGTTCTTCTTTCCGGCCCTAAGGGTCGTCTTGACCGACTTCATGCCGCCCGATGCCCCAGTTATTTTCACTTTGGTGCATTTTGCCAAGGGATGTCAGGACTTTAACTTTTTGCCAACTAATGGGTTTTCCGTTAAACCACTAGAAGCTAAACTTTTAGCGGGGGAGCAGATTTCGCAACCGAGTTCAGTTTCGCCTGCCTATGGGCACATGGTCAAAACGGTTTCATGGCATCTGTGAGGTGCGGGACGATACTCACTTGCCCAAAGCCGACCTTTTGACCTTTTGGTTGTCCCAGTTTGGTCCATTTTTAGTAAAGGTCCCATAAGGTTAACCTTTTATTTCCAGGTCCTTTGGGCAAGTGAGGATATGTCCCGAGGCGTTTTTCCGGTGGTCCATTTGGGAGGGGACAGGTAGGACTCAACATCTCCGACCGAAACCAGAGGACGAGTTCTCTGATTTTCCCATGTGAGGAGTAATTTCCAAGGTGATTTGTGGGCTGACCCCCCCCGTCACCAGGGCAAGCTCGGTTTTTGACCAGCCAAATATTACAAAAGGAGTGCCCCATTTTTGCCCAGCACTGGGACCCTCTGTTAACCAACCGAATCGATGGATGCCTATTTTGACCCACAGTCATTTGGGTGATCTTCGGCTGGGTCCAATGCGGGCCCGTCTCAGGCGTTGCTTGGGTCCCTTGCCGGAAGATGCGGCCGCCTACTGCGAGGAACGGTGGAGAGATCCGGTTGAATCGCCCCAAATGCCAAATTCGAAACTTTCTAATACACCCTCTGCAGAAGGAAATGCTTGCGTCACTTGTTGGGCTTGGATCTGCTAGTAGTAAGCAGAAAGTGCAGTTGGACTTTTTTCTGGCCAACTCAGGAAGTGAGGCGGTTTTCCGGTGCTGTCCCCTTAAAAGAGAAGCGGAGAAGGGGGTGAGTCTGATTCCTTTTTAATGAACCTTCTCCAGAAAGGAAGACCATACCTATTCTCGGGCTTGATTTCCTGGCCTTTTCAACCATCGCTCACCAAAGAGGTGATTTTTTTCCGGGCATGTGGCATGGTTCTGAATCCATTCACTTGGGAAGTTAGCCCCGGTGTGCAGCGCCACATCTACAAAAGTTAGCCATTGGGTGCAGCGAAGATATAGCATGATATCCAGAACAGAATTGTTGAGTGAGGATCAACCTTGCAGTGCGATCCATTGTGTCATTTTGCGTACCCATGTGTATTTTAGCTGCAGATTCTAGGTCCGAGTGACTCGTCTGCCAGAGCCTTGTTTGTGATTTGCATGATATGCCCGCCCTTTCTGCAGATATGAACATCGGCAATGCCCATGAGTACTTTATCACTTTGCATGCAGGGGATTCCCCTGGGTTTTCACAGAACATGGAAGCCTAAAACCAACATGCTCTTCCATTTGCTCAAGAATATGTGGCATTTTCTCCTGTTGGTTTTAAAGGGAACTTAGCACTATTAAACACCAGGGGACTTCAGCAAATGGAGGTTTTTCCACCGCCGAAGGAGTACATGAAGCGCGTGGGGATCACCACGCAGTACAACGTCAAGTGCCGCTGCGCCGTGAGAGGCATCCCCTGCATACGCTGATCTGTTCCTACTGTGGATGGACAAAATCCATTTCGCACCACCCAAGAAACAATGGGGGACCATTGTTTGTTGGTATTTTACAGGGGAATCATCATTCCCAGAGCTTCTTAGGTGGTGCAGGATTTTGTCCATCCACAGTATGGTGGCCTGTTCCAGAATCAACCGGGGGGGAATGGTCTGGGTTGATCCGTTCAAGGAAACTGCCCCCTTCCCTTTGACCATGCCACATGCCACATGCCCATTTCATTTACGCAACTGGCACGGAGTGAGACCCTTGTTGCCTGTGTCCAGTGTATACTAGATCCCTCAGTAGTGCCCTTTTGCCATTTTAACAGACTACAGAAAAAAAACAAAACAGGTACCCTTATTCTAACTTCTCTACTGGAGGGCCTAGTATAGGTAGCTAGGCACATGCCATGTTAGTTGAAACGGACCAACTCAAATGTTGAGAGACGCCTGTTTTGTAGGGACTCCCAGTGAATCCCCACTAGTTGAATCAGCATCCAAGGATCAGCCACTCAAATGAGGTCACTCCGAAGGAACCGCGCATTTTTTTTTATTCGTCAGGTACGACGAGAAGAGCGCCGCCTTCTGGGACCGCATCAAGCTCCCGTCCAGGGCAGACAAGCCACGTGGCTCTGAATCCGTCGCGCGTAACATGAGCCACGTGCTCAAAACCCGGGGATTGATGAAGGTTACTAAGGGACAAGCCCAACCATAAATAGCTGCGGAATTCCGCCTTCTTAATTCTTGAAGCATGGTTCTGAGTAGACCATTTTAATGCCGGGTTTTGATTGACTCACATGAGAGGCAGCCCCCCCGGTCAAATGCTCGGAGGAATGCCAAAACAAGGCCTGGCCCAGGTGCTCGAAGCCGTCTTGCTTCCATTTGCTGAAAGAAATACTTGTTTATTTTCCCCTGTTGGCTTTGAAGGGAATCGATTTCACTACTGGACATATTTCTATTTTTTTCCAGGGGTCTTAACCAAATGGAAGCTTGGGGGTGGGGGGCGTTGGTGTATTTTTTCGACTTTGCGGAGCCTTATGGGTTTTCCCGCGCTGCCAGTCTCCATGGCCAAGTGGGTCGGAGGGTACCTGCAAACTGACCACCGGAGACTACTTCGCGCTTGATTTGTGCATGTTTTGCAAGAGGAAACCACAAGGAATTGTGGGGGCGCTGGTTTGCTTTTCAAGTTTCAACCATTCAAACCACCCTTTCACCAATTGTGTACAAAATTACCGTTCAGAGTTCAAACCAATCAAATTTCAATCCTTTCGGCGCCGGACGCATGCAGATCCGCCGTACCCGACCCGGACCCAAAGAAAATGGCACGTGATGCGACCGCCCGAGACAGCGCTCCGCCCGCCGCTCGAAAGCCTCGAAGCTGAGGACGTACTTACTCAGCGGGGCCCGGCAGCCGGGATGTGTCAGGTCCGAACGGGGTATATACCCCTAGCGGGTTTAGAGTGGCACGCCAGTGGGATAGTGGTTTGGGGGTGAAAGCCATCTTTGATTTTGGGGTACAGACCAAACATCTTGGTGCTGACTGACTAAACACTGTGAGGTTCTTTGCCAAAAAAATGAGTTGTGTTTTTGGCGGACATCAGAGGACTTGCCAACAATTGTGCTATGGTTTTAAAGGGAATCTACCACTGGACTTATAAATGTTCTCATTTTGTCCGGGGGGCTTACTTGGCTGGGCGCACTGACGTTTGGCGAAGCCGGCCATGTTCTGCCGGGTCAAACGTTTGCATTTATGGTCAGATGAGATACGGGGGGACCTTGGCCCAATTTTGGGCCCATGGAAGTGGGAATTGAAAGCATTTTGAGGGCTCAAAGATTACAAGTTGATAGGGGAACAACCCCTCCCAAAGTGACGAATATCCAGGGTACCCTGATCGGTTTACTGGAAGCCCAAACGGAAACCATGTTTTTAGATGTATTAGATGTATACTGGTATCTCTAAAGGAAACTTAATCATATTGGTTCCCGGTCTCCCCTGTTTTGACACCCCATGTTAGGTTCGGTCAAGAGAACTGTAGTTGGTCAATTTGGGAGGGACAGCAAATTCGCGAACTCCCTACATAAGTTTCAATCCCTGAAATGCAGGAGACGAACTCTTTTGCTTTCCTCTAGCTAGCCACACACACTGTGGATGGACGCGGTCCGACACCGCCTAAGAAACCCTGGCATCATTCGATTCCCCTGTAAATACCAACGCACGTTATGGTTTGAGCCATGGTTTGCATGTCGTGGTGCGAACGGATTTCGCAAGCATCCACAGGGCTTTTGGTTGCCGACTTTAGTGGTACCTGGAAGATTGATTTCCTTTTGGTTTCAGCCAAATCAACTCTTTTTGGGGACCTCCTGAACCCCATCCGCATATTTTGGGACCGTTTTTTTCTTCGTCTCGACTCTTGAGGCGAAGCATTCCAATTACTTCGTGGGGGAAGAAGTGTGGAGCAACCGAGGGCCCGGGTCGCCGGATGTTTGCCATTGGGCCGAGGAGTGGTTTAGATCGCTTGATCGTGCTCAGTGGTCCAACGCGAATCGACCTGATCTGTTTCTGGGTTGCCATTTTTTAGTCACCCCCAAAAGGGGATCACCTTTTATTTCTGGGCCCCCTAAAAAGCCACCGAGTATGGTTGTTGCTTCGGATTGGCTTTGGGTTTGATGGGTACGGGTTTGATGGGTGTGCCTTGCCTTGTTGGCACTTTCAGTGCACGTGCATAAGTTGTCGCCAAGCCAGAATGTTTGGAGTCTCCTCCAAGAATTGTATATGTTTGGCATCTAGCGACAGGGCACAAGTACATGCTCATGGCAGTTGGGCGAGGGCCGGTGTCACAGAATATATTTTTAATGTGGTCAGTTGCGCCCCAAGAATGTTTGAGCAACTGATAAGACCCATTCTGGGAGGTACTGTTGGTTTGTATCGACGCCCCCCCCCAAAAAATAATAAAACATCTTGCCCACATCAGGGGGCCCACCCAAATCTCCTTTAAGGAGTCGTTCGCAATCCTCTCAAGCGCTTGGGCCATTTTGAACTAAGGCCGGGAGGGGGTGGATGGATCCTGGTGAATAAGTACTTGCAGGCGCGATGGGACATGGGTGCGGTGGAGCCAGCCTGACGTTAGGATCCCTTTACTTTTCTTCAGTCAGTGCCTTGCCTCGTTTAACAGGTCCCGGTTTTGGACTCTTGATGTTTTCACACCTCATCCTTCTTGGCCCATAGTTGCGAGTTTAGGCGCATAAACCCTTGGATGATGTCCGAAGGGGAGAGACAGAGAGACCTGGGCGTGCTACAGGTCTGGCGGGTCTGGCAGATCCTTCTGAAGGGGACACAGGTAGCCCTCCATGCTCTCTGGAGCCATGAATGGACGCAATGTTCAGTGGTCAAATGACTTCAGACTCAAAAGCTGCACTGCCGAATGTGGAGATGAGCTCAAGAAGACAGTAAAGAGGTTCTGGGCATTGGCCTTAGACCTTTCAGACCTTCAGAGTTTAGAGGGAATGACACATCCCACTGAAAGTTTGTTGTTATTTGTTTAGCAAGGGAGGGCTTCCGTTTGGGGCTTGGCTTGGACACCCACAAGTCCACTTCCATGATTGCTCCAGTGATTCCATTCTCCTGCCTAGGGGGTAACCAATAGAACCAGCCTTGAAAAGCCCAGAGGTTAAGAATGTCGGCTGCCTACCATAGTGGTAGCTGGGCTTTACTGGGTGTTGGAACGCGGGTAAGTTTTGGGATGTCAAAGAAAGGCCTCAGGAATTGTCCACGTCGCTCGTGGCCAGGTCGTCACAAAGTCTGGCGACCGCTGGGGCGAGGGCGTCGTTTTCGCCGTCGGCGACTGCGCCGGACACCCCGAAAACCTGGCCCTGGCGGCCCTGGGAGTCTGAGAGGTCCATATTTGGCCATGGGTCTCAAGAGTTGGAACTGTGGTTGGTGGACCGAAATGATCTCCAAGGGGTACCTGAGTAAAATTCATGCCCTTTTGCTCAGGGTTCGTTCAAAGGAAAAGCCAGGCTGGGCCTGGGGTATTTTAACACGTACCCATTCAATCTGCGGACGCAATTCGGCGAGCTCACTGATTCGGGGGCAACACGAGTCAAGACCCATGATGTAGGCTGGGGATCCAAGTCTTATCGCAGGTTTTGGACTTACTAATTTATTATAAAGCAGCCCCTTCCACCCCGTTTTTTTTCTTCCCCCGGGTTGTTCTCTGTTTTAGTCTTCTCCAGCTGTGTTTGTTTGTGTGTTTTTTTGGTGTGTGTGTTTTACAATCTGTTTGGGGACTTCCCCAAAGGGGGCCAACAAACACGGAAGTGCCTTTCGGCCCCTGTTCCACAAGCCAAGGTTTCCTTCCAAAAGAGGTCTGTGCATGTCAGTGGAGGGTGTGGCAGCGTTCAGCGTTCCCTATAGTTCCTCGTTGGGTCCTTTCAAACGTCACTTGTTGGGCTCCATTTGGGATGATGTTCAGGAGCAAACATCGGGACCCCTCCATAATTCACTCGGCTCGGTGAGATGGTTGGGGCCATTCGGATGAGGTCTTTGGCGGTGTGGGCGAGGCTCCAAAGTGGGAGCTTGAGCCTTAGCGATGCGGGACGGGGTAGCGTTCGGCTGCCGCTTGGGTCAGATGAGAGGCGAAGAGTGGGCTCTTACTTGTCCGCAGATGAACATAGGCGCTTATGAATTGCGTGTTTCCTTCAGCGAAAACGAACCAGCGGTTCGCATCAGGTGTGTGAGCATGTTGTTGGATTACTCGCTTGACCAGGAACGCATATCATGGCTTCACTCTCATGGCAGATGGCGCCAATCCGTGAGAGGCGGATTTGATGAACGGTGCTTCATGCACCCAAGACCGGACCTAGGTGACATAGCCACCAGAAATGTTATCTTTTTCTTATCAGCATGATTGCCTTTTCGGTTTTGTCAAGGATGAGTTAAGATGTTTTGAACATCACCTTTCAGGCTATCGCTTGCCAAAGGCAACTTGTAGGTACTATGAGGGCCTGATGCAAAACCAAGGTTCGCCATGATCATGGAAGCAGCATGTTAGCACACTACACTGTGGATGGACAAACTCCTGCACCATTTAGGATGGTTGAAGCCCTATAAATAATGGGATAAATCGCCTATCATATTGTGCAAGAGTTCCATTCACAGAAGGGTGATCGCAGATGGCTGAAATCGATTCTCGCAGATGATGAACCTGACGTAAAGCGCATGATGCAACCATAGGACACATGTGCCAACTAAAACCAATCTCACCCAGCTGCAACTGTTTGGGTGTTTCTCAAAAAATGGGCGCGCCTTCAACTGGTGAGTCTCGCCTTTGGATGTTCCTTTCAAACCATCCGACAAACAGGATGACACAGGCCCATTTATTTGCTGGTTCGATAGGCAGGGAATACGCTGGAATGACCCCCTATAAACATCCCTTGTCGTTTCTTTTAAGGGAATCCCGAAAACCGGTTCATTCCCAACACCCGGACTAGTTGTCATGCCCCCGGTGAACATCAAAATAGGTGGTAGATGGGTGTTCATCCGCCCCAAAATGGAGCCATAGGCTATGACCCTTGGCCAGCTATCGCACCAGTCAGTTTCGCCCTTTTGTATGCTTCTGAGGATCCCGCCGGTGCCCAAGACCGGCTTCCCAGCCGAGCAGCAGGCGGATCACAGCCGGCACCCGACGTGGACCCGCTCCCTTTGGAAGGAAAACGGTTCAAGCCAGCACCCCCAAAAGAACATGTCAGGTCCCAATTCGTGGGAGGGTAAGTTCCGTTGATCTCTGGCCACCAGAAAGGTTGGAGAAGCCTTCGCTCAGAGGCTCCTTCCGCAACTTGCCTGCGCTTGCCTTCAAGGCTCCTCTCTGATTTCAGACAGCATTTTGACTAGGGGGGTTCCCTGAATAGTCCCTGACACATTCGGAGTTAATCCGAAGGTGACAACAGATTTGAGCCAGTCGGTCTTTCTCACGAGGCTATGGCTCGCATTTGGGGACGCGAAAGGGGACCTACAAAAAAGCATCCACCACAAGAGCCAGGAAAACTCTTCTGCATGTTCCATGTCCTCTTGGGGCAAGTAATTTTGACACTGGCTCATGGGATCTTTCAGAGGCAAACCGAGAAAGATATCAAGGACGGCGGATTTCTTCGTCTTGTCACAAGTCGTTCCCCGTCAGGCCATCCATGCGTGCCGCAACATCAAGGTGCAGAAAGTGTCAGTGCCGTCGTCTCATGGGACAATGGGCAACTTGCTTAGGAGCTCCAAACCTCGTTTCAAACTTCCAGACATTGTCTCGTTGTGTGCACATAAGCTGCTGATACGGTTCAGTTGACTAGCAAGCATCCATACGGTTCAGTCGACTAGCAAGCATCCCGAGCACGCAACACCTGTGTGAAGTCAGGCTCAGTGATGGGAATGTTTGCCTCGTATCACAGCCTTGCCGGAGAAGCGTTCCAGACTCAAGGAAATTGACGTGGCCCCTGTGTATCACAGGTGGCAAATGCTTACACGCCAAACATGGAAGTGCAGAGGCCCAAAATTGGGAGACTACTGGGAACGGGGTCCTGCTCTTTTCTTACCCTCCCACCAAACTGTTTACTGAGAACGGAGCATGTTCCATATCTGCAGGGAGGCTACATACTCTTTCCTATATGTGCCGATGCCTCTGGAACATGCGGGGCAGCAGAACGGGTCACATGGGTTTCGTCTCTTTGGCGAGCAGTTGGGCCTTCGTCGCTTGACTGGGTCAAGGGAGTTCCTCCAGATGGCCCCTGGTTTCGAATGGTTTAAAGGGAAGTGCCAAGGTGTGTAGTTTTTGGCGTTGGTGCCACCTGTTTGTTGCGGGTTTCAAGGGGGGTTCCAAACAATGCAGCTTGCGCAGACCACTTTTGTGAGAAGTCGTGTAACGTAACTTGAGCAAAGCATATTGCGCTGAGCAGACTTGCAGCAGAGCCACGCTTCACAGAGCCAAGCGCAGAGCCACTCGCGTAAAGTAGCTTGCGCGCGCCAGGTAGCAGCGCTCCAAGTTGCGCAGAGCTACGTACACAAGCTTGCTTTGTAGAAACATACGCTTTCACGACAAAGCGATTTTTGTGTCGGGTTTGCCTTCCTGGAGAGTCCGACCAAAAAAACGACACGCCCACGAGTCATGTTGAGAGCCCCCAGTTTGAGGCAGGTGGAGGGGGGCTTATCAGGTTTCCCGTGGATCCGGCAGGCTCTGGACCGGAAGTGGCCGGGTCCCCCGGAGCCAGAATGGCGAGCTCACATGATGAAGGTCCCTTACTCGGGGATGCTTCCCTTTCCGGTTTGTGGATTTTTTTTTTTTTGTTCCCTTTTGTTTTCTTCTTCTTCTTCTGAATGCAAAAAAGCCCCACTCACCGATTTGCAAAAAGGGAAGGCTTCTGGCCGTCCTTGAAAGCGAATTGCCAGGTGGGTTCTTTGGCTCGCTTCAGAGTTGGTATCATTCTTCAGATGCAGCGAGCTGGGAATCCAGATGACAGGGAGATGATCGGACACTTTGGCCCGGTTTGTCAACGGGCCACGTTTTCTCTTTCCTTCAGGGCAATACGTTGACGACTCTTGCCTGGCGTCTCCACCTTCTCCTAAAGAAATCAGGTAGCTTTTTTAAGGGTCATGGAGTCTTTATGGCTATTTGGTTGGATCCTTGGACTTAAACTTGTTGCAAAGCAGGGGATTTCCATTGAACCCACAAAAAGTCAACAACTTGTTGCAGAGGGGGCAACTGCAACCAAGGAGTCTCCACGTTCAAGGGGCACCAAAACCGAACATCGAGCTGCTAAGGTTTGCCAGGCGTTGCCTTTGCGTACCTTGGCCCGGGACCTGTCACCGGCGGTGGCTTCCTATCCGCGGAAAACTCAGAATGCGTTGCCTTCATTTAATTTGCTTCTCAGGCAACCGGGGGGGAGACTACTTCAAAGGGGGACCAAAAACGTTTGAACGTCTGATTCCCGAAAATTAGGATTGGTTCTGACACGCGGTCGTCAGGTTGGTGTTATATGACTAGAAGGATAGTGTTGGGGTGTGGGCCCGACATGACGCTTCTTTTGTTTTCAGTCAGGCGTCCATTCCGCGAGTTTTGGAACACCCCTTTTCGGTCTTGCAAAGGACTTGCCTTCCTGAAAAGAAATAATTGATCCTAAGAGAAGGTGCTCTTGACTTTATGTAAAGGGCGCATCAGCAATCGACGACGTCTCATCATGATGGTTGACCGAGGAGTTGACAGACATGTCTGAATTTGACATGTCCAACACTACCTGGGAGCCTTACAACATGTTTGCGTGTGAGCACACGCAGCAACTGTTTGACCGTGCTTGCCACGGGCTCAAAAGGCAAGTTGTCGGTTTCCTCTCTAGACGCATCCACCAAAGTGCCAGGCATACACCCCTTTTGCAAGCATTTGTTTGGCCGCAAAAAAAACCTAAAAACTCAGGCTCGCGACCTCCAGAATCATATTACTTGCCTGATTCGCCTGGAGCCCCATGGAGCCCCATAAAGCCATGTGGGTGCGGACCTGCCCCGCCCCAAGAAACAATAAAGTAAAGTCGATTGTTTGTTTCTGTATTGGTGTTCCTTTGGTTTTTCCTCTGGTTTTATTGTTTCTTTCGGTTTATGGTGGTTTTGCCATGTTTGTGGCTTCCCTTTGATTTTCCCTTTCAAGCCACCAACACCGGGGGCACCAAAACTGGGTCACACGCGATGCCGTCCAAAGCCCCTGGGCCGCGCCCTATTTGTCGGAGGCAGCACACCTGCGGGCCGCGGAGCCTGCGGCCCTCGCCGCGGCCCCAGCGGCCGAAAAACAAGAAAGAAAGAACAGCGGCCAGCCTCAGGGCTCCTTAAAAAAGATACCTGGAGTCTCCATGGCCCTTCAAAAATGGTTGGCTACTCAAAATTAAGGGGTCATGGACCCATTTTTGAAGGGTCATGGAGACTCTAGGTACACTGCCAATTTTCAAGTGGAAGGCTAGGTTTTCCATTCTTCCATCGGGGTGGTGAAAACGTTCCCTTCCAAAAACGGCGGTGCCGCAGAAAAAAACATCGTCTGTTGCCCAGGGCTACTTAAAAGATGCCCACTTTGCAACCATTTGAAACATAGTGCTTTTTCAACACCAAAATAAAGTTGGAATCCACAATTTACAAGTTGCAATGTTCAAGTGTATTCACTGTAAGGATCCCTGCTCAAGTGGAAGGCTAGGTTTTCCAGCTAGGTGCCCTTTTAGCGTTTCTTTTTAGTTGGGAGGGTTCCCCTACTAAAATAGACTACAGAAAGAATACCCTTATTCTAACCTCTCTGCTGGAGGACTTAGTTGTGGTTTCATACAAGATTCCCCCTAAGACATCCATTGCTGCTTTTCACGTTCAATATCATTCCCTTTCGGCTTCCTAGGGAAATGAACGAAGATATGGAGGGTCAAACATACTGTGGATGGACGAAATCCATTTCGCACCACCGTTCAGAATCCCTAGTTTCTGATTGGTTTCCACTGCAAATACCGACACACAATGGTTTCAACCATGGTTTCAAAGTGGTGCAGGATTTTGTCCATCCACATACTGCGTTTCATAATGTTGACCCCGTATTACTCAACCCCTCTATTCATAGGGGGGTGTTCCCCTCCAAAAGTGGTCTGATTCCCCACTAAACCCAGGGACACCCCAGAACTATAAACAGGGTTTATCAACCTGGGGTCAACGTCACTGCGAATGGACAATTTTCCGCACCAGTTGGGATGGATGAAGCCCTGCAATTATTGGGATAAACCACCTGCCAACTGGTGCAAGATTTTGTCCCACCCACAGTATAGGGTAGGCTACATGGGAAGACTCTGAATATCTGTTTTATTTTTGGGGCAGAGTTGGGTCAAGCTCAAATGGGTGCTCACTTAGGGAACCTCCTCCATGAAACGAAGAAGAGAGTTCATCAGCGAGGTCTTTCAGTGGTATCAGAAGGGTCGTCACAGAAGTGCCACAGCAGTGGGCCATTCTCACACTCTCCTGCGCATGCGAGCGCGTACTCCCCCCCGCCTTCTCCCCAAATATTGGAAGCCAATCACAAGCCATGCAAGCCCTACGCAAGTACGGACATTTCCGGGTTCCTTTGCTCCCTTGCAATATGCAGGGAACTAATCGTGGGCCGATGATATCCAACCAGAACATTGTGACTATCTTCCCTACCGTTGAACACCTAGGGGTTCTTTCCCTTGCAATATGAGGTTTGGTCAACAATTCTGCCGTGACTCATATAGGGTGTGTGTTTTCTTTCGGGGGCCCACAAAATGGCAGTTTGTTTTTCCGCTTTAAACCAATCGAAAAGGGTACTGGCACAAAAAGACAGACCCATATGGGCATGTGTTTTCTGAAAAGGGCACCCTTTTTATCTTGGTTGAATGGGAAGCCAGCAAGGATAACCACAATTTTGGTGTGCGTCTTTTTTATGGGTCCCCAGAATGGCAACCCGGTGTTCCTTTTGGTGTCTTGAAAACCACCAAGAAGGGGAACCAACTAGAAAGAAAAGGACCACACAAACACATTTGGAACAAAAAAAACACCACACACACATTCTTGGGGGTCCTGCTTTGACACATCATCTAAACCACATCGAGGTTGAGGGATACGGCTTTGACACATCAACTATAAACTGCAACTTTTGTGGGGTCATCCAACTAAAACAACTCAAGTTGCGGAGTCCTGCCTTGATCTGCCCCGAGGTGGTTCCCGTGGGCCGCCTCAGTCTTCGCCATCTCGCTGGGCCGCTCTGGCAGAGTTGCGTCGCAGCAAGTTTCAGCGTGCCGATGTGGGCGGCTCGCTCGTCTTTTCGGGGGCGGCTTTAAAGGGAAACCGAAAGGAGAACGGTCTGTCGTTTTCTGTTTTGTATCCCTGAGCCTTTGGTTTATTGACCAAGAAAAACAAGGACAATCTTGCTTGATATCAAAGAGACATCACCAATTGTGTGGGGTGGGAGTCACATTTCGGAGATTGGAAGTCACGTTTTTCCCTAACGAGGATACCCGCTCGATGTGTGTTTTATTGCGATTCAATCCTTTGGACCCAGACGGGTCCAACAGTACTCCTGGTTTAAGCTTCCCCCAAAGCCGTGGTTGGCCTTGAGCCATGTCGCACGGGATGCGATTTTCTCTCTGAGTTTGGTCTACATGTTCTGAAAGCTGAGATGGGATGTTGTTTCAGCTGAGGAAAGTTTTCGGATCAGTCTCAGTTCCCTGAGGAAGCGAAATGGTTTCCCCCCCCCCCCGCCCCCCAGAACCCCAGAAGGAGCCCCCGGATTCTTCGGCTTTGGCGGTAGGGATCCATTGGAAGGTGGAGGGATCGCAGTGGCTGGGAACCTGGTTGGAATGGTTGACCAAACCATGGCAGGGATCCATTGGGACTCGGGACAGATCATTGGCTTTTCAACTTGAGAAGGGAAGTCTTTCGCTTTTCCCTTTGATCCGTTGGGATGTCTTTGGTTTTTCGAAACTCATTGGGAGCCCCCCGTGATCCTCTTATGGAATCCACAAAGGGGTTATTTCAGAGCCCTAGGGTTCCATAAGGTTCCATAAGGTTCCCTACGGTTCCCTATGGTTCCCCAAGCCCCAACATGTTCAGGATTTTTCGAGGGAACTTTAGGAACCCCCCCTCCCCCCCATTTGGACCACGACTTTTGGACCACCCTCCTTGGACCCTCCCCCCTTGGACCACTTCCCCCCCCAAAAAATAAAATAAACAAACAAACACAAAGCGGGACTCCAACGACCTTTTCGCCAGAAAATTCGATTGGCACCGACCCAATCGATCCGAGCGGATCGATCCGGGCCCCTTCACTCGCTCGACCGCTCGAGCCAGGCCCGCAGGACGGCGTGGTGATCTGCGGCGCCTCGGAGAAGGCCACAGACGGAGAGGGCGAGACCTGGGGAGGCCAAATCCCTCCAGTTTTTAAGCAGCAAACAGTTAGACTTTTTGCGCGGGGATCTAACCGCACCCAAGCCAATGTGGACAGTACCAAGGTTGGACGTTGGACGTGGGAAGAAGCAGCTGTTGTGCCCCTGGAAGGATGCTTTGACATCTTTTCTTTTTGGAAAATATCGTGCATTTGGGTGAGTTTCCCTCTGCTGGGGTGTCCAAAGGTGGAGTATGTGCGAGCATGCTTCTCGCTGAGGGTGCCCTTGCGAAGGTGGGTTTTGGACGCTTCGGGACCCTATGTGGGTTAAAGGACCAGCGTGGGCAATTGACGGCGCGCCTTTTTTGGGGGTGCCCTACCCCAAACATGTGGGTGCTCTTTGATTTGAAGAGACATTTGGTTGACTCGTACGTTGGAAATAGATCATGAATCCAGGCCCTGTATTTTTTGTTTAACCATGCTTTGTTTGGTCGACTTGATTGATCGTTTCCGGTTAGTGTATTTGATAGCGAAGGATTTCCACTGTCCGTTGGTTTTGGGGGGGGGGGTGGCAGGGAATGAAAGGAAAACAATTTGAGAAACCCCAATGATCTCAAAGCAAGCCAGGACTCCTGCTCAGTTTGGACAGTTCCCACATCCAACCTCTGTGACGGGAGGGACCCACCTCGACTTGGCAGAACCGTCATTAGCTCTTTGCCACCATGGCGGAGACTCTCTTTTTGCGAATGGCCATGATACGGGAAAAGGGGTTCAACATAACTGCGGCCAGCCTTTTCAGCATGTCGCCTCTCAAGAGGAGATTCTTCTACAAAAACCGAGTTCGTCTTGCGTTTTGCAGATGTCAAGTTGAGGAATCTGTTTTTGTGTTTGTTCGGGTTTGTTTGTTTGTTTGTTTGTTTGTTTGTTTGTTTGTTTGTTTGTTTGTTTGTTTGTTTGTTGGGTTGGTTGGTTGGTCTGATTTTTACGTACATACATATACATACATAGATCTGCTTTTGGCTCGTTTCTACAGAGTACTCCCTGCCACCGGGCCCAACACGCGGAGCTCGAATTCAGGGCGCTGGCCGGATCTTCTGTCGGGGCAAGCTGGCCAGCGCGCTCAAGGAGCGACGGCCTTTTTGAGCCCCAGGGTTTGACGGCCCGCTGAACCACGAGGGCACCAGATGAATCAACCCCTGGAACCATTCGTTTCCCCTGCAAATACCGACAATCAATGGTTTCAACCATGGTTTCAAAATGGTGCAGGAATTCGTCCATCCACATACTGCGTTTCATAATGTTGACCCCGGATTAATCAACCCCAGTTTATTAATACTGTGGGTGGACGAAATCCTGCACAAATCGGAATCTGGGGGAAACCGTTGTTTCTTGGCAGTTACAGGGGAATCGTCGATTCAGGGTTTGCTAGGCGGTGCAGGATTTCGTCCATCCACAGTATGGGTGTCTTCCCCTCCAAAAGTGATGAATCCCCGCTGAACCAAGGGACCCCCTATTTATAAACAGGGGTGTGTTCTTCCGGGGTCAACATTAAGGGGTGGGAAATTATTTCTGCTCCAAATACCCGTCATTTGTTCAAAAGTGTGATGTCAAGCGACTAGACTGGAGCTATTTACCTAAACCTTGTTGTTCCAAACATCAAGAGCATTAGGGTACTGGATTTGGTTTGGTTTCCTGTCCAAACCACCGGACGAACCACCCTTTGTGAAGGAATTAAAGGGTTGGACCCCCTTGTTCCTTTTTGGTTTCCTCACACAAGTGGATGGATGAAACCGCGGTACTAGTTGGAACTGGTGGTTTATCCCACTATGGGACCCGTTTTGCCCAAGGATTTCGGCCCGGATCTGGAGGGAACTGCAACTTTCCACCAGATGACTTTTTGTTTTCTTTTTCTTTTTTCTGGTGTTCATTAAGACCACCTCTTTTGGATTGTGGAGTCTCCAGGGGGCTCAAGCATGAAGAACCATACCCCAAAATCACCGGGGACATGAGAAAAATGACTTCAACATTTCAGGTGCTTGGTCATAGAGTCCAGGTGCTTCTCCCGGATCCTAGTTGTCACCTGCATGGGTTCGACCCCCGACTTAAAGGGTTGGACCCCCTGGGTTCCTTTCTGGTGTGCCCACACCATGAGAAACAAATGACCTCAATTGTTCGGGTCATAGACTACAAGTGCTTGGTCTCCCGGATCCCAGTTAAAACCGGGGGACATGGGGGGGGTTTCCACCTGGCGGTTTTCTCCGCAACTGAGGGAAGCCGAGAAAGACCATGTGTTTCTAGTTGCGTTTCTTGCTGGTTCTCAGAAGGGAATGAGACTTGGAATGACCCGAGAAAAACCATCCCCTATAAGGTTTCCTTTTAAGGGAGTCCTGACTTCCGTTCATTCCCACCACCCGGCGAAGGTCATTCCCTACTGTGGATGGACGAACTCCTGCACCACGTTCATGGGAAACCATTGTTTGCTGGTATTTGCAGGGGAATCAAAACTTTCCAGGGTTTCTGAACGGTGGTGCGAAACGGATTTCGCAACCATCCACAGTATTGACCAGCAAGCTTGGAACAAAAACGTCCCTCGCCAGGAAGTGATCGAGGCCACCAAGGCGGGCTCGATCGAAACCAGCAGCTGCATGGCGCGTGTCCTGTTGACACGGTACCCTTCGCCGCAAGAAACCAAAAGGAATGGTACCAAAAGGTTGGAGTTGGTACCGATTTTGGAAACCATTCCTTTTAGAGTTGGTACCCTGCGCAGCTTGGTTTTAGAAGGAAACCAAAAGGAATGGGCCCCAGCCATTTTGGATTTGGGGGGGTGCCCCTGTTGAAAGACACGTGCGGGCAATGACGTTTACGGAGCCCGGGCTCTCTCTCTCTCTCTCTCTCTCTCTCTCTCTCTCTCTCTCTCTCTCTCTCTCTCTCTCTCTCTTTCTCTCTCTCTTTCTTTCAAAAACGCGTGCCTCACGTTGAATGGGTGTGTTTGTGTTTGTGTTTGTGTTTGTGTTTGTGTTTGTGTTTGTGTTTGTGTTTGTGTTTGTGTGTGTGTGTGTGTGTTTTTGGAGGGTACTTCTTTTCAGGGCCCCTCTGATGACACATATCATATCCAAATGATTAGAGCTTCAGACCAGGGATTTGTCATTTCAACCCAAGCTAAAGCCAGAAAGGACAACGGTCAGCGGTGTGTTTCCTCTGGCAACCCGATCAACCCGGTCTAAGGCTCGCTTGAAAAAGATCCGCGGCGCACACTCTCGGACCTGTCTCTAGGCAGAAACCTCCCAAGCTTTGATTTTTCTTATGAAGCATCCCACAAAGGGCAAAGGCATACCCATGCAAAAGGCGGTCTGTTGATTCCCTGAGCCATCAAAGCTTGGTAGAAGATGAGTAGGGGACAGTCCCATTGCGGATATCCGCCCTGAGGATTCTTTTCCATCTTGGGTAGACGTTTTGAGTACCAGGTTTTGATTGTGACTCTGGCCAGGGAACCAACAGTTCTCAGTGGGGCCGCTCTTTACTCCTGGTTTTGATTGCGTCCATGCCTTCTGAGACACCCAGGATCATCCACACAGCCTTGGCCGAAGGTCACAAAACAGCAGGACTTTGGTCAACATCCTGAAGCTGCTTTCCTTTTCCCAGGCTCCAGGTGAGTTCGTTGGCGGCATCTAACATCCTTACCGCCCCGGGACAAGGCCGGCAGCCTCCCGCAAACTCTTCACGACCAACGCTCAGCCGCATCACTGGTATGCAACCAACATATATACCCAAGTTAGCCGGCCCATGAGCCGTGTGCAATACTTGACACGCTGGTCGCAGTTGGTAGTTGTCCGTGCTCGTGGATGTTTTCTCTTTTTTTGAAGGGACCGCCCCAAAATGGTTGGCTTCCTCCTGGTTTCCCTGTAGAACCAACCAAAAAAAAGGTTCCAAAGAACGACGAGCCACGTTTATGGAGCATGGCGTGTTTGTATGCGCAAAGCCTAGAACGCTCACTGCCATGGGAAGCTGAGCTCATTGCTGAAGGCTGAGGCGGGTCGGACCTTGGGATCATAAACCAACAGATAAAATGGTTGTCTTTTTTCAGGGACCCCTTAGATTGGTGGGTTTCGTTTTGGTTTCCCTTTACAGCACAGCCCAACAGGGGTACCACCAGAAAGAACGGGTGTGTCTTTTTTTGGGTACGCCCCCTGTTTTGTTGGTTTCCAAGGGAAACCAACAGAAAAACCCAACAAGATGGCGACCCCCCAAAAAGGTGGGCGTCCTTGTGGTTCCACAGTAAAACAGGCCCAAAGGGGTGCCACCAGAAAAAGGCAGGCCCAAAGGGAGGTCAAAGCTGAATCGGAGTCGGAAACATCATCGGGCCCCCAAATCCCCAAGAGAGCCATGGAAGAGGGGGGGTCAAGTCGGCCACCGTTTTCCCACCCACGTGTCCCCTTGTTTCAGGCAATATTCTTGGCCCCCAATGACCTTGGGCATTTTTTCCCAACCCCCATATATATGTTTGGAATGCGGGCTTAAGTTGCAAGCTCGGAACCCCGCAGTGACCAGGGGTCTGGAAAACAAGCAAACACACACACACGCACATCCTCCTTTGGTTGGAATTTTCATCAGTTTTCATGGGCAGAATGTTCATTTCTCATTGGATAAACTTCCCTCTTTGGTTTCCTTTCGGTTTGTTTTGAAAAATGCAATGGCCTCGAATTTCCCGGTTTTAGGTCTCCTTTTGGCTTTCCATTTGGTTTCCATTTTACTTCCCAAGCAATTGCACCCACTGCGTCCATCCGCAGGCGCGAAAGAAGCAGCGCATGTGGCGCTTCCTCGCATTGTCGTTGGCCGAGTCTGCGTGCCTCGGCTCTTGGGAGCAGCCCCTCGTCAACTTCTGCGAGGAGACCTCTGCGAGTGTGTGTGTGTGTGTGTTTGCGGGTAGCCTTTGGGGGCTGGTTGAAAGGGACACCAAACAGAAAGTCATATTTTTCTGAGATTGCCCACTTTTGACACATACGCACATGGGTCAACAGCCCGTACCGCCAGTGAACATCCCAATCCAACCACTAAAATTGACTAAAATGGGTGGTGCACCTACCCCGAAATGGTACCATTGGTTTTGACCCACAGCCACATGTCCCCAAACCTTCAATCGGTTGCTTGCCCTTTCTTCGACCTTTTCGAGCGTGCGGGCTCCTTCAATATCAACGTCAAGCAACGAGAGTTCTAATTCATGTTTCGCATGGCCACTGTCTGGGCATCCAGACATGTCATGTGGCTATAAGTTTTATAGTTGGCACCACACAAGTGGTTGGTGGACATGAATCGGGACCCACCTGAGTGCCTGGGTGCGGAAAATATGGGTCTGTGTTTTCACGATACCCGCATCTCCGGCTTGTTTTTTTTGGACGCTGGACACAAACCGACCCAGTTTTGGATCGCACCACTTTAAAACCATCGTTGAAACCACGTGAAACCACGGTTGGTTGGTATTTACGTTGGGGAATCAGCATGCCAGGGTTTCATAGGTCATAGGTGATGCGAAATGGATTTCGCAACCATCCACAGTATTGCCCAATCTCCTGAAGAGGTCCGAGGGAGCGTCGGAACCTGAAAGATTGGCAGGAAGCGAACGCACACACACACCCAGTGTGTCAGGGTGGTGTCATTTTTGTCCCCAACCGCTGAAAGCTATGGGGTACTTTGCCCACAATAGGCTCTGGGGTTTGGGCAGGGACGGCTCCAGAGATTCGGCTGGGGCTCCAGAAATTCGGTTGGGGCTCCAGACATTCGGTTGGTGATACCACCTGGACCCGAGCTTTTCCTTGTTTGCCAATCACTACCAATGGACGCTGTCCACGATTTCTCACGGGGAGGTTCCTAAGCCGACCCCACTTTCATGAGGAGAATTGGCCCAAGAAGCGCAGCGCTCTGAGCCTCGCCGCTCGAAAGGCAATCCGTGTGGCCCGAAGTCGCGTGACGTCTGAATGTATGAGAACTTGTGGTCATCAATTCTTGGAAGCCGGCAAAGGAGAACACAATGGTCAGGGTTCATGTATGAGTCCATACAGTCAGCTGTTGACTTTTTCACTCCCCCGAAAGGATTCCATCTACAATGGGTCACCCCGCGAAGACAAGACCAGAGTTTATCATTTGTGGGTTTTGCAAATCAATGGAAACTAGAAGGAACAAAACCGTTGGCACGGAAATTATTTCAGGGGTTCTATTTCCTGCAGGAATCATTTGTTTGGGATTAGTTGAGCTGAGGGCCATAAGGCTCCCCCAGTACAGGACATGGCAGCAGGTGGCAGCATCGTCAAGCCACGAAGCAGATATGGGTGAACTCTGGCATACAGTGTCATGACGCGCTCCTGGGGTAAAACGAGCTCCCCCGAGGCCAAGGTGCCTTAGTAGGGGGATTCCTTTTTTGCGGCGTGGGAGTAGTAATTTGGCCTGATACAGAGTCATGCAAGGGACAAAAGAACAACTCCGACTGAACATGGGGCGTCCTCCAGTTTGAGAGGGACGTGTTTGATTGGCAACATCGTTGTGGAGCATCGGGTAGTGCCACTTTCTGTGATACGAATCCAGTCCATTTGATTGTGATAAACTAGTTTGCAAAACGGGAATCCCACTTTGGCATCACGGCACACTTGATCTTCCAGAACCATGAAAGTCATCCCATGCTTGTCACGGGCCCCCCAAACGACTGCCCCTCCCCCCCAATCCCAAGAGTGGCCAGTAACTCAGCAGCGCCCATTGTGCCTAATTAATTCGGTCTACTGGCATCCGCTATGAGCCAAGCTGTGCGATTCAACTGTTGGGCTCTTGACCACCATACTGCGGATGGACGAATTCCTGCACCACGTTGAAACCATGGTTGAAACCATAAAGTATGTTTGGCATTTGCGGGGGAATCAAACGAGAAAACAAAAAGCAGGTTTCTGTTTTCGGTGCTGCGATTTCTGGATATCCAGAAACCATCCACAGTAGTTTTGGGCCCCTCAGAAGACCATTGAGGGGATCGTCCTTTTGGGGAGTTTCCCTTAAGACCACCATTTAGAGGGTGCTTTCGATGTCACGAAGTCGGGTTTTCCCCCCCATGTCGGCGCGTTGCAAATCCGGGGAGTGTTCCGAGGTGATGTTCCACTCACCCCGCTGCGGCCACTGCCTGAGCCTGCAGACCATCTTTCAGCAGCTCGCTCAGGAGCCCCTTCGGCTGTACGGGTGGCTTCTCCCAGTTGGGTCTCCTCCATTTGATTAAAGGGGCGACATAGTCAAAACACATCAGGTATGCTCCAGCGAAGCTGGACGGAAGTGTCTAATCAATAACGATCCTTTGCTTTTCTTTGTATTCCAGACGTGGGCCAAGGTTGGGGGGGGAAGCATAGACTGGTGGCCAATCTTGGCACATGGCGTTCAATCCGGCAAGCCCCCGCCCTAAAACACATCTGGCCTCACCGTGGCAAACTGCCCACGTTCCCACTCCCGCTCCAAAAGAAGGCAAACAACAAGCAAAGAGGTTCCCACTGCGAAGCCACCCTATGTAACCCTGTCAGAGCCAAAAGTATACTTTTACCTTTTGGGTGTTGTTTAACCTAGGCGGGAAATACGCATAACTTTAAAGTAGGTT